AGCTTTTAAAATGTGTGTACTTTGAGAAAATTCGAAAGCATGGTGAGATTTAAACACACTTATAGCCAGTTGGCCAAAGTGCTTCTTCAACGTGCAGTGTGGCATTAAGCAGTTTTAAGATAGTATTCAAATTACAATTATAGATTTTCTATCAGCATGAAAAAAGAAAGTTTTTTTTTTTACTTAGTCATTTGTATATCATATTGTTCAGTATTTGTCCAGATTTGATTCTTGGGATATATTAACTTTTTTTGACAGAGATACGCATAAAATTCGTCCTCAAATTTTAAGAATCTATAATGGGTTATGGATATACTGTATCTGTCACCCCTAAAAGCTACCAATTGGGAATTGCCAATTCTCAATCTCCTCTTTGCTGATTCCCTGCTCCTATTGCTTGAAGAAGATACCATATGGTGGATCACATAGCAATGGTCATTTTAGTATAGAAGTGGTTAGAATGTACAATATATGACCCAGAATCAATAACATAGGCATTATCACAATGAAACTGCAACAATAATTGCAAATCAATAATTACCACACTTTGCGATGATACCACGATTGCGATGTTATGACGGTAACCACTCCCGAGTTTCATGCACGCACTTTTACCGTGTTTGTACATTAACAATCGAAGCACCCTCCTCTATATTAGCATCATCACCGTCGCCATCATCATCATCACCATTACGATGTTTCGGTAAAGTCACGTAGAATGGAAATAATAAAATAATAAAACATAATAAAATAATTCTCTTCTTGGTTCTTTCGGTAAAGTCACGTAGAATGGAAATAATAAAATAATAAAAATAAAACATCATAAAATAATTCTCACGACGTTTCGGCCACAACGCAAGCAGCCGTCCTCAGGTGGAGAGCAGGTCTGTCGAGTAGACAGAGTCTGAATTCAGACCGTCCTCAGGTGGAGAGCAGGTCTGTCGAGTCTGAATTCAGACTGTCTACTCGACAGACCTGCTCTCCACCTGAGGACGGCTGCTTGCGTTGTGGCCGAAACGTCGTGAGAATTATTTTATGTTTTATTTGTATTATTTTATTATTTCCATTCTACGTGACTTTACCGAAAGAACCAAGAAGATGAATCCCTGCAGTCACGAACGCTTTAAATCATTATGATGTTGTTATGGGCGATGCTGATGATGCTATTGCTGCTACTGCTGCTACTGCTGCTGATGAAATCGACGAGTGTGGTGTGCGATTGGGGAATGTACGGCGGGCGTGCTGAGACTGCACAGTGACACGGCCGCGCGCGCACACGCGGACACGTTGGCGGAGCGTGTGAGCGTCACGCGAGGCCGTGCGCGTGCGGCGAGCGCGTAATGTAGCGGCACGGGCCGCTCAGGACCCCCCGCCGCGCACTGCTGCTGTCGCGGAGCCCGCGCAGCTGTGCCGGGCCCCCAGTACACGTGGCACCACCCCAAGTCCACGTGCCGCGATGATTACCATCGCCGCTATCGTTGTAAGTCATCGTCATCATCGTTGCCCGACCACGATCGATTCGGTGCTGGATGGAGGCCTCGGCTAGGTCATCGCCGTCTCGCACGGTCCTTCAGATGTGACGATCCACCCAGATGCCTGCACGTGAGCGGATTTCATCGCTCCGTCTCCGCGTCGCGATGGCGAGCTGTTATCTCCCTCGCCTGGTATGCAGGAAGTCGTGGGTTCGGTCCCGACCCTGACGCCTGTATATTTGTTTGGTCGCATGGATCTTTCTCCGGCTCCTACAGTTTTCCGCTCCACATTTAGAAACATGCGTTTAGATTATTTGTCTGCTTTCAATTGGCACGTGATAAAGCACTCCGCGAGGCTATCATTTGTGGCCAGGTCGCTTCTGAAAAAGAGCTAATAGCTCAGTGGGCTTAACCTGGTAAAATAAAAATAGTTTTGGTTGAGTTTTATCTTGCAATATTTTGTCATGTTTTGTTTGCACAGCAACAGTGCTTAAGCGCATACATAGCAAAGCACGCTTCCGTCTGCAGTAAAGTGTGCCGTTTAAGACCTTGTGACAAACATAATGATATAATCGCCCATCGTGCACAAATGTCACATCCCAAATTACAAAGTTTAAAATTGCCCCTGGCTAAAATAATTATAGTAATAATAAAATTAATAACTACCCATGCATAGCTGCCCTCCCCGAGGTCTCTGCTGCACCGAAGATGATGAATCTCGCCGTGCCCTCACCTGCTTAAATAACGCACATCAATCATAGGCGGTGTGAGCACAGTGGGAGAGCGCAGGAATTTGGGGCGCTACGGCCGGCATCTCGGCCTCCATCCCCGTGCCATCAGGGATGCAGTGGGGGGGGGGGGGGGGGTGGTAGTGGCGGTGGTCGCGGTAGCTTTGGTGGCGTGATGAGTGCACAGCGCGCTATGAACCCAGCAGCTCGAGTTCGATTCCCGCCCACCATGGCTGACATCAGTGGTGATTATCTGAACTCGTCCTGATGAACAAGTGGGGAGACAAAGACGGTTGGACGCTAACAGCACTTGCCCCCCAACAGTCTATGTAGGCTACACAGGGGATATATATATTCATGTGGTGGTGGTATAGTCGAATGGGTGGTGGTAATGATGCATGAGTGGGGGTGGTGGTACGGTTGAATGGGTGGTAGGTGATGGTTGAATGGATGGCGGCGGTGGTGGTGGCGGTGGTCCATGGCACAACGCTCGACTTACCGACCACCACCGGTGGATCGCATTCTCTTCTTGACGGCCTCGCCAGGCGTGTCGGCATCCCGTGGTTTTCCTCCCCCCCCCCACCCCCTCGGTTTTGCAGAGGCGAGCGAGCAGCGTAACGCAGCGTACACCGGGCACGCCGCGCAGAGCTGATTTATTCACGCCGGAGCCTGGCATCTCGGCGCGCCGGCTGTTGGGATAACCTCGCTAAACAAGAAAGCAATTTGCAGCAGATTATGACAGCTGGGCTTGGGTGTGCATTCCGCCAGGCTGTGAATTACAGCGTATAAAAAAGAGACAACAAGAACTACTTGATAATTTCAGCCGCATCGCGTCAGTGAATAAACGATGAGCGGACTTGTCTGTTCTCTTAATGGCTTTTGGCTTTACAAAACGACGAGTGAAAATGCTTCATTTTCATTCTTGATTCAGAGAATGCCATGCGAATGTAAACTAAGCCTCAGGAAATGCTCCCGATCTCGACAGATCTCAAAAACCTAAAAGCAGGGCGAGAGCTGGGGCAGTGCTAGGATGGGCGGCTGCCATGCATAGCATGTGTTATTATAGGCAGAGCGGCTCACCTGTGCTGTACTCCTACCATGGGTGGAAAAACTCGATTTTTCCAGCGGCAGGCATCGGGTTTTTTCTTTAATACAATTAAACCCGATTTTGGGGAATTAAAACCTGGTTTAATGAATACGAAACTCTGATCCAAGGCTTAGGCTGCTTCCTCGTCGGTGCTGCTATCGTACTCGGGGGGCCGTCGGGCACGAGGTAGTCGTAGAATGCGGCGGGCAGGTTGGTCTTGATGAACACGAGCTTCTCCACAATCGTGGGCGCCAGTGAGTTCCTTAGCTTGGAATGGATGAAGCCCATCGTTGAGAAGTGCGGTTCTGCAATTAGAACCAATTAAACCGGATTTCTCCCACTCTTAAATGATCGGGTTTAATATTAAAAGACAATTAAACCCGATTGTAAAAAAAACCCGACTGTGCCACCCTTGACTCCTACGCTCACACGTCTACGTTCGCCAACCTGCGCCGGCCAGGCGGGTGAAGTGTGGTCCAGTATACGTCCCACGACCCTGGCGTGGCATGGGGAAAGCCGTCAGCCATCAGTGCTGTCTTGACAAACAACCACCGCACATTTACACGTGTTTTTATTTGTCATTTAAGAGTGCACTTTCTCGACGGAAGTTGCAGGAGAATTGCCGTGGGATCTCCAGCGTTCGCCCATTATTCTCGGCATATTTTTTGGTAATAACAATAATTAAGGGCTCTTAATTACAGAGACTTTACCCATGTTCAGCCAGTAAGCAATGCAAATTGGATTTGAGGCACTGCAATGAGAATGTATTTTCTTTTCATCTCTTTTGGAATAATTGCGATGTCAAAGACATTCAGGGGGTAACAACTCCTCACAGCGGGTTTCTGATTGCTAGAGAGTATTGCTTTGTTGCAATGAGTGATGTTTGCTCTGCAGTTCGTTATTTTTGGTCCGTGGTGACTCTACCGTCTAATTTATTGAAGAGCCGAGCCCCTGCCAACACCTGATGATGGCGGTTGTAATGTCCAGCGAAACGTCGGATAAAATTGTCAAAAATATTCGCTTACTTCTCAACATTCCTCCACTTTTGCGGAGTTACAGCGTGAAGCAAGGAGGGGCTCATCCAGCAGTGTCACCATTCTATAAAAATGTGCGACACATTAGATCATACATTATTACTGTTGATATGCTATTCATCTTCTTGGTTCTTTCGGTAAAGTCACGTAGAATGGAAATAATAAAATAATAAAAATAAAACATAATAAAATAATTCTCACGACGTTTCGGCCACAACGCAAGCAGCTGTCCTCAGGTGGAGAACAGGTCTGAGAATTATTTTATTGTTTTATTTTTATTATTTTATTATTTCCATTCTACGTGACTTTACCGAAAGAACCAAGAAGATGAATCCCTGCAGTCACGAAAGCTTTAAATCGAAATTTGATATGCTATCGTTACATTTATGAGAGAACGTGGCCCCAGAAGGGCGCCCATCGCGGAGATGGAGCGATGAAATCGGCTCGTGTGCAGGAGCTGGGTGGGTTGTTACATCAAGAGGCAACGCTGCAAACGAGGTGGGGAAAGTGAGATAAAATAACTTGAGCCGTGAGTTGAATCACTCACGTCTCCGAACGGCGGCAAATCAATTGTGTTTGTTGCGGGAACAGAGTGGTGGGGGAGTTTGGAGGGAGGAGGGGGGGGGCGCAAATAAGTCACACACACGTCCGACAATAATCGTGCCGCTCCACGCTTCAGGCGGCGAACACCTGGGAGGGCCGCGTTTGGAAGCGTCGCGGACGCAGCCGCCCCAGGGCAGCTCATCGGCTCCCCTGTCGACGTCGCGCCGAGGCCAGCGATTGGCTCGCGCGAGGACTCAAGCGTCGTCCTGGGAACTGGCGCCAGCGGAGCCGTCGCGATCGCAGCTGCAGGTGAAGCCCATCTGGAAGGGGAAAAAAAACCACGTGGCTTAAATCCGAGACACGTTGACGAGGGTGATTCAGGTGTAGGCCGGAATCTGGAGTTCAATTTTCGCCCTCAACCCCCTCCTTCCGCTGATTTTCGTTGGTGAGATAATTTAGCAAATGTACACAAATTATATATCTTTTTTTCTATAGTCACATAAATTAGGCATCCATCGTTATGCTTTAAATCGACATCAACGGTTATAAAATTTACATGACATGTTAGTTTTGCTAATTGTGGTGTTATATTGGCACTTGTTTTCGTTTGATAGCTGCTGATGTATTTTTAGTTGTCTTTCGTTTTGAAGAATTATTTAATTATGTAAAAAAACGAGTTATCATTTGGAGCAATTGCCCGGCATATGCAGCTCTGCTGTGTAACTGAACTTAAGAGAAAAAATTTCCTCAAAGAAAAAAAGATTGACAAATTGGAATGGTCAATTCTGATCGAACAAAAACCTCTTAGAATTCACAATAATTAGAATCAATCAAGGATAAATTCAGAAAGAAATTGTTAAATTGATTAGTTCGTTTTTTACAAGTGGTGACCTCATCAAAATGTAAATTTCGGCTTTTTTTGTTTGCTTTCAAAATCAAATTTACCCGCCGTGATGAGCGATTTTTTAAATAGGAATTTGAAAAGAACATTATATTTATCAGCAGTACGGTGGATTAAAAAAATAAGTGTCTCAGCCACCACTATTTCACACGCGTGCTATTTTCATGTGTCACCTTGCACTACCCGGTTTGTCAGCGCCGTTCGCTTTTGTTGGTAGAGTCGGATCGGTGTGATGTTTTTCATTTTTGCCTTTGCCGTGCGCGTTGTTCCAAAGCCCACTACTCCGGCCTCGGAGCAGTGGCACCGGCTGGTTCTACGTGACGGCCGCGTGGATGAGACCGCCGGAGACTTTTCCGAATTCCGGAAGCTTCAGCGCACGGCGTGGGGGCCCATCTCGTCGACACTCCGCGGCATGGAGGGCCTGCTCGCCGCCGTCGCAACCACCACCGTCGCCACCAGCCACCGCCGCCGCCTCCACGTCGTCTGCCTCGCGAGCCGGTCTGGTGGTGGTGCTGCGCGGGGAGCGCGTGGCCCAGGTCTGTGTTATTACTAGTTGACAAAAAACCCAGAACTACAACTGAAAGCCACGGCTTATTTTTTACGGCAGATTTTGACAGTGATCATAGCGCTTTGTCGTGTGTTCGTGTTCGTATATGGAACAGTGTTACAGCGTGCCGAGCAACAGTTGTAACAATTACAATGCATGGATACAGCGATATAGTTACCGTTATTAATTTGTTGCTGACCACTTGTACCACATTTTAAACTGATCAAACGTCGGCTTGACCCCAACCATTTAGGTTTTCACAAAACCTCAACATAGCCGTCGGTGAAATCTGAGCATTCCGTTAACGGGCACTAGAATGAGGACGAGATGGAAATTTTGGCGGAACTGTGGTAGAAGCGGGAAGTGAGCGTACAAGCTGTGAAGGGAACGAGATGGGAACTAGAACATCCTCGAGCGGCGTGGGCCCACACACTTCACAGTCAGGTTCAACATCACTCCGTCATATCCCAGGTCTCATAACTACCGTCGAACAAATGCATTCAGGGAGACCTACAGACCCTTTATCATGCCTACATCAAACCGTTTAACAGTGCACCGAACTAGAACCTCCGCTTAGCACAGTTGGCTATGTATGGTGTTAAAGAGTTCAGACAGAACAAATATTAGTTGGTGAGAACTAGAACTGGCGAGATATTCAGAATGAGTTGCTCATCTCCTGTTTACAGCCCTGAGCCAGCGGTGGAAATTCCACGATCCTACTGTGGGGCCAGGTCTATCACAGAACAACTACTGCAGAGCTGACCACATTTATCAACCTCCGAAGGGATGATTGGCTGGGTCAAAAACATGAACCTAAACTAGGCTTTCATTAAGAGCCGAAGTCGAACTTTTTGTTTGTTCAGCACCCCTGTTATGGCGTGCCATGTAACGGCGTTATATAATTGTTGGTATTTATCTATAAACTAAACTAAATAAAATATTTTACCAGGTAAGGTCCACTGAGCTACACTAGTTAGTTTTCAGAAGCGACCTGGCCACAAATTATAGCTCAACGAAGTGTCCATGTCACGTGAACATTTCTTGCAGCCAAATACTCGAAACGCATGTTGATTCTAAATGTGGAGGAACCCGAGGACCCGGAGAAAAATCCACGCAAGCTACAGGATCGAACCCACAACCTCGTGTATACGAGGCGAGGCCGTTTTATCGTTATTATTAGAATTGAGGCTGAATTGTTGCAAATGGCGTGGCATGTATAATCGCACCTGGAACCAATGATTTCAGAACCGTAATAACAACACCGTCCGCCCAGCTGACGGTGGCACACCCAGCCTAACTCCGCAGAGAGAGCAGATAGTTTCCACTGTGATACAAAGCCACTCCTTTCAAGAAACGAAAGTGATTGCAAAAAAACATATTTTTACAACAAAAATAATTATTACCTAATTACTCACATTTTTTTTAATATCCACGAAAATAATCTCAAATATAGTTTGTGACATTCCATAAATGGCAAAGGTGCAGCCCTGCAATTGCCCGCTCACGCCACTGCTGGCAGAAGCAGCCCTGACAGATACCCCCTCAGAGATTGCCCCCTCCGAGGGGGTATCTGTCCTACTCTTCCACACTGACCAGGTGCCTCGGAAGAGGTGGGGAAGCACCCACACTTTACCCAACCAAACGTGACCCGCCAGTCAACTGAGCACGGTGTACCTATGTATACTTGCTGTATGGACGGAGGCGAGGATTTAAGCCACTTGCCCATCGTTTAAACTGAGGGGAGATTGAACTGACGACCACCTCTTGATTGCAATTCCGTTGTGCTAACCATTAACACCAGCATCATTGATGACATACAATGGCTGTCTATGTTTTTTTGGGGTGGGTGGGCAACTGCCCCTATTGACCCCCCCCCCCATCTCACCCCCAACCTGCGTGCACTTCTGCCAGGTGGCACAGGAGCTGGAGCTGGGGCTGCAGAGGCGCAGGGTGACGGAGCGTGATCTGCTGTTCGCGGCCGAAAATCCGGACTCACTCTTGCCCCTGCTGGCGCGAGGGTTCAGGTGACAGCTCGGTGTCTCTCTCCTGGTCACGACGAACTTACAATTTGAAATTTACCGTCAGCCCAACGACTGTGATTCAGAGCATGCTCTTGCAAATTCACCGTCAGCCCAACGACTGTGATTCAGAGCATGCTCTTGCAAATTCTTGATATGTAAAAGGGTATAAAAATACTTGTAGAGGGACTCCTCTACTTATGAACGAGTTAGATTCCGCAGGTCTGTTCGTAAGTCGATTTGTTTGTAAGTCCAACTTTACTTACGTCGATTACAAACACGTTGTATGGCGTGTACACTAAACACGGGGAATGGCTTTTAAAGTTATATAATCTCCCATAGATGCCACTGGTTCTTCATGTTCTGCAAATGTAGATGCCACCACTGCCATCTATTGCGCGGTGGTTGAACTTACGACTCTAGGTCCGAACGAGCGACTGGACATACGGACAGGTTTGTTCGTCTTCTTGGTTATTTCGGTAAAGTTACGTAGAATAGAAATAATAAAATAATAAAATAAAACATAATAAAATTATTCTCAAGACGTTTCGGCCACAACGCAAGCAGCCGTCCTCAGGTGAAGACCAGGTCTGTCGGGGAGACAGCATCAGACGCTGGCCGAAACGTCGTGAGAATTATTGACACTGTCTCCCCGACAGACCTGGTCTTCACCTGAGGACGGCTGCTTGCGTTGTGGCCGAAACGTCGTGAGAATTATTTTATGATGTTTTATGTTATTATTTTATTATTTCCATTCTACGTGACTTTACCGAAAGAACCAAGAAGATGAATCCCTGCAGTCACGAAAGCTTTAAATCGAAAGTTAGGTTTGTTCGTATCTCTGAAAGTTTGTGCAAGTCGAATGCTCGTAAGTAGAGGAGTCCCTGTAGAATAATTGTTTACTCATTTATTTCGTGGTGTGATTTGTTTTGTAGAGATCGTCAATAAAGGTGTTTATTTGTTAGTTTAGAACGAACACGTCACAGATATAACCGCTCACATTTTGAAGTTTTTCAAACTGAAATATTGCTTTATGTATTTATTCATTCGTGTCTGGTCAAACTGTAGTCTGTCAATGAAAACGTACATTTTTTTAAAATAATAAAACATTTTAAAGAGTGTCGTTCATGCAAAACTGCATCTCACAACGCTATTGAAGACAACAGCAATAAAACATGAAAATTAATAAACGACATTTTTTTTATAACCAAACATTATCAACTCAAATTAAGCATTCAGTTATTGATTCATGTTCCTTGACTTCTAAGAAAGAAAAAAAAACACCCAATAATGAAATATTATTTATTTCTCAAACAAAATAGAAATACCTTTAGTGAAAAAAAACATTAATTCATTCAATATTCTCGATTCAAGACAAGCACCCGAAAACGTTCTCAATTCAAGCAAAATGCTTTCGTTCTCGTCCGCTACACTATCGTAGCTCTGCTAGCAGCTGTCTGCTTCGTGTCATAGACCTTTGGCCTGCGGTCAGCGGCTGCAGTGAAAGAATAATAATTGAAACGCCGATTAATTTATTCGTTCAAAAAAAGTCAGGAGTCTTTTCACAGAACAGCCCAAGAGCCTGACGTTCATTATAGTTTCCGAAAGCCGGCGAAGGCCCTGCGATGTCTTATCAGCCCACGCAGGTGAATAAAATAAATACAAATGACCAAACTCATTACTATACACATTAATTTCCCTTAAAAAAAAGTGTGAATACGGTATCATCGTAAACAAAGCGTTGTTTGGATATCGATTCCCATGGGAGGCGACACCGAAGGTCACGGCATTGTTTACGCGGAGGCTGAAGATGTTTTTCATCAGAGCTGGGAGCTTCGGAAATTAATCTGCGTTGTTTGGCTTAAAAAAAAAAACTTCCATCCTTGTTTTCATTAACAAAGCACGAATCGGTTATCATCTATGCAAACAACAGAATGGGCATTAACGAAAAATTACAATTACAAGATCTAATTGCTGTAGCCTTTTTGTGCTTGTTAAAATGTTTCCATACAGCTCACGATAATAGGGCCTTCGTTTGTCAGGCACCGCGAGAGAAAACTTACGAACCGCTAATTTTTTAAAAAAATGTTGGCTTGCCCACACCGATTCCCTCATGTAGATATGTATTTGCATTTTTTACTGGAAATGTACGCATGCTTTGGGCAACCCTTTGATTAACTTGGGACGGATTTCAGTAGGGTAATATCCTAAAGTGCAACACAGTTTTATACGCTGGGTTATAGTTTGAATCGGATCACGTTAACAAGAGTCATCGTGTCCTGTCATTATGGACAGACAGAGCCCAATCGCATAAACCGGTTTCAGCGTCAATAACCCATGTCTTCGTTGGAAAGCGTTAATAACGAACAAAAGAAACCAGCGATACATGAGAAGTCTTGGAGATTCAGGGAGGCATTCCTGGGTAAACTTTTTTTTTTATCGGTACTTTTAGCGATTTAAATGTCATGATGTAATGTGCCTCTGCAGCACACTTGGTATTGCTCACGACAAGGACTGCGTACATCAAACAAGAGACGCGTGCTTCGTGGCCTTACTCGCGGAGAATTAAGAGCGAACACAACACATTTCCACAACGTGCGCCCGTATAAAAATTAATAGTTATATTTTATCTTCTCTCGGCATCTGCTCGCTGTCGCCATTCCCTCCAGGAGCCCGGGCGGGCACGACCGGGCGGCCACGCGCATCCAGGCGAGCTGGCGCGCGTTCCTCGCCCGCCGTGACTTCGAGCGCCACCGGCGCCGGCGCTGGGCGGCGGGCGTGATCGCCGTCGCGTGGATGCTGCGTGCGCAGCGCGGCCGCGTCCGCCGCTCGCTCGCCCAGAGGCGGCAAGCGCAGCTCGAGAACTTCCGCACACGTGCGCAGGTGCGACACACACGCACGCGCGCGCACGCAGGTGCGACACACACGTACGCGCACGTAGACGTGACACACGTACGTGCACACGCACGTAGACGTGACGTACATGTATGTGCACACACACGTTGACGTGACACACACGTACGTGCGCACGCATGTAGGTGCGACACACACGTACGCGCACGCGGACAAGTGCTACACACGTATGTGCGCGCGCACGCAGGTGCGACACACGTATGTGCGCGCGCACGCAGATGCGACACACGTATGTGCGCGCGCACGCAGGTGCGACACACGTATGTGCGCGCGCACGCAGATGCGACACACACGTATGCGCGCGGGGATAGGCCCTACACCCACATACGGGAGGCGCCCACGATGTTACAGAAACACACTTGTGGTGCTTGGACAACTGCAAGAATTCTTCCACGGGTGCAAGAATCGCACCCCCTTTTACCCAGTGAAGACTCACTTGAGACTTAAGATTCGCCCTCCCCCCCCCCCTTCCCCAGGGCCCCGCTACATTGACACGAGTGGCAAATTGCATTCACAAGTGTTCTTGGGTCTCTCGGTAAAGTCACGTCGATAGGTTCAAAGAAAATGACAAAAAAAAAACTACGACGTTTCGATCGCAACGCAAGAAGACGACCGCTTGCGTTGCGATCGAAACGTCGTAGTTTTTTTTTTTTTGTAATTTTCTTTGAACCTATCGACGTGACTTCACCGAAAGACCCAAGAATATGAATTCCTGCAGTCACGAAAGCTTTAAGTCAAGATGCATTCACAAGTGTTTGGCTTCATATGGGAGGACACCGGATCGCCTAGAGAAAAGCCACCGTGCATGTCCAGGCGACGGATATACGCACTTGCGAACGGACCCAGGTGCTCCGGACGGTTTTAACAGTCAGGTGACACTGACCACCGATGCGGTTTTAGGTGGGGGGAGACTACAGACTCTGCTTCGGGTTTTCCCGTCTCGGGGTGGCACGTACAGGCGGATCGGTTGATGACTGTCGTGGGCCTGTGACGATTCGCCCTCGCTCACTGATTATTGTGGAGCATGGTTGTGCGTTCAGCTCCAGAAATTGATTCTCTTTTTGGAATATTACACTGAATTTAGTGCTTTTAGTGGCTGGTGGGGATCCACGGATGCATAGCATACGACGTATAATCACAATATAGAGCCCTTTTGTCAATCACATACAATTGTTTCTGTTAATGTGGGCGCCGTCTCCTTGCATTAAGGGTTTTCTCTTGACACTTCAGATCCACCAACATGTTGACAATACTAAAAACAAATATTGACCAGTTACCACTTACAGGACTGACTTGAAGACTTATACGAAAACTATCGTTATCACAATTGCGGTTACTATTTATATACAGGTGTAATACCAGCCACCTAAAACATCTCTTTTGTTTATTGATATACATTTTTTGTAAAGTCTCATCAATATCATTAACATTGATTTGTTTTCACAGCAAACCAAACTGTAATGAACGTAATGATTTATTTAGCTAAATTACAGTTGCCTTATACATATTTACTTTGTTTTTCCATCATAGTGCAGCTCGGTAAAAGCTGCATCAGCTGGTTTCATTTTTGTTCATATTATTATTTCTCTCCCCCTTTTGTTATTATTTTATTGAAATTATAAACACTGCAATGTCCTTCTCTGCCCGTCGTCGCGCCATTCATTCGCTTTCCCAGCCCCCCCCCCCTCTCTCTCTACCCTTTTCCAATTTCTATCGCGTGTGCCTTGCTTCCGCACCCCCCCCCCCTTCCCTTTTTCATTTTAATACCGTGCCCTGATGATATCTGGGTTCAAAGCTTGACTGCGCAGACCTAATTGCATGCGCCATACCATTAGCACAAATACGGAAATAAGTGCGGTGAATGCATTTAACGGTAAATGAAGTACCATTAAACGTAATTGAAGAAACATTTACTTACGCCATCCACTTTAATGTTAAACAATAAATTGTGCGGCTTTTTTGTGGAGCAATGATAATTATGCTACAATAATAGAAAATTCCATTGGTGTTTCGTTATAATGCTTTAGCGCTGTACATTAAAGTGGCTTTTTTTTAAACGATATGTATCTGCCTAATGCGGATGGCCCCATCACCCCAGAAATGTTTTTTTTGCGAAATCGTCCTAATGCGATGCGATGTGCGCGGAGCGGCGGATGGGAGGGTAGTGGGTGGAGAGGGGGGGTGGGGCAGGGAGTGGGGGAATGCACGCATAATAGAGGTTTTGTTTGATCCATTAGGTCGCGGTAAACAGTTTGCGTTCCTTACAAACGGCACGCGGAAGGGCCTTCGGCTATACAAGTCTACCCCGGCTCCTTTCATCGCAACCACACGAGTCAGAGGTGGCAGGAATTACATAGTCACTATAAGATCTATTCTTGTTCATGTTTTTGTTTTTTGTTTGTTGCGGTTGCACCCGATTCAAGAGCCGAATGGCTCACAGGGTTATACCTAATAAATAAACTTTGAACTTTGAAACATTGCGCGTGGTGTACGTACGACGGCAAAATGCGGAATCGCCGTCGACGATTGCTAGAGCGGGGGGGGGGAATACTTAATAATAAGCAAAGGATCGTGGAGCTATCGACGTTTTTCCTCTCTTCTTTTTTGACTTGTGTCTCGCGCGAGTCAATAGCACTCCTTGCGTATGAATGATTAATGGGGGGGGGGGGGGGGGGGCGCATTCGTTTGCAGAGCCCGCTTGATCGCTCGACAAATATCTCGGGCACTTTCGGCCCTCGGTACTTCTTCCGCACGCACAGCATCATTAGATAATAATGATTATGTAATCCCAAAGGGCGACGCGGGTTTGCTCGTAAATTGTTTGCGCCGTCTGGACGGACGCCGCCTCGTACACGCGTGTGCGTGTGCCCGGGATGGCTTCTTGTTTTGTTTAATTTAACACATTAGCGGCCGAACCCACCGCGCTCTTCCGAAAATGACAAATGTTTTGTTACGCAGTTGTCGCCGGCGTCACGGGCACGGTGACCCCTGCCGCGTGACGTCCCCACGTAATTGTCGCTTCGTTTACCGCAGAATGGGAATGCTTGCCTGTGCCACGGTGCGGTGTCACCTTCTTTCCCCCGAAGATGAATGGAGTTTTAATTTGGTTTTCGCGGAGGAGGGAGGGGAGGGGAGGGGATGAGGTTATTCCTCCGGCTTGTTTAGGCTTCTCCCGGTTGCAGCGGCGGCGGTGACATTAATTAGTGCTCACCGCTTCCCCGCTGCTTTTTTTTCCGCCGTGTTTTTAATTCCCGTCCTGTTAATTATACCCTCTCCTCTCCGTTATCACCGCCGTCGCCATCGCACGCCTCTAATTAAATTAATTGTCGCAGTGCTGGAGCGTGTGATTAAATTAATTAGGGTAATTTACGCGAACGCACGGCGCGTGCGAAAGCCGCGGCTGAGACTTTGGCGTGGGACGTTTTCGTCCTCGCAAAGAGCCCGGGTGGGCGCGCGCGAGCAGGTCAAAGGTTCTGTTTTGCAATGTAAACACAATCGTTCCCGTGCACAATAACACGCCGCTTTGTTAATTAAATTCAGATCTATATTTTTTTGGGGGGGGGGGGGGGGTGGGAGCTCGGTTCGTACTCCCGTTGTCGTCCCGAACGCCACCCGCTCGCTCGCTCGCTCGCCCCTGCGATCAGCACCCGCACGTTTCGCTCAACAATGCTTTTGTTTCGCTCGGTTTTATTTGTTCTGTGCAGATGGAGGCTAATTAATTGACCCCCCCCCGCCTTTTAAAATCGCCAATCTGCCGCTCTGTTTTTTACAAAACTGATTATGCATTTAATTTTAACAGCTGGCTGACAGAAAAAGATGACACCGCCGTCATTAAGGATTCCACTCTCGCACAAACCTGATCTTTTGAAATTGAAAAGGAGCGGCGGCGCATTTGCCTTCTCGCGAGAGTGTGCGTTTGTGTAAGGGTTAATTGACGATTCAAAGAGAATGCATTTATATTTAAAAATATATATACTGTTTTTATTTACAAATTAACAAATAGTTCGCTGAACGAATAACCCACGAATTGAAAAAACACACACACACACCCCTGTACGTTGTAATGAAACGGAATATCATTGGAACAAAGAGCTACATTTTTTGCCAGTACACAAAGAAATACACTACAGACTCGAATGGCCCTTTTACACAGTCGTTATTATTTACGAATTAAATCAAGAACAATTAATCCACTAATCATACATTTTAAGTCTAAGTGTCCACCATGCTCTAATGAGCTTTGGGTGACGCTCAGGACTGTTGGCGGTTCTGAGCAAGCAAGCGGTGGAAATTCCACATTGTTATCATGGGAACAGGCTCATCCATACAAAACAGCCAGTCACTGTTGAACTGATAATTCACGGAGCCTGCTGCTACCCCCGGCCCCTGCCGAGCTATATCTGTGCGCATTAATGATCATCGACCACCCCCAGCCCGTTCACCAACGGCTACTCACCGGTGTGGTGAAGTATGGTCAAGCAAACCCCATGATGAATGATACAGCATGGGGAGGTCTTCATCCGGCAGTGCATTGACTAAGGGCTCAATTAAAATGCTGTACGTGTATGTTTGAGGAATAGCCTTACGATTGTGAATTTTTTATCGGGTAAAATCTCACCAAATTAGGGAGACTCTGAGGATGCTTGACATCTCGCAGTGTATAGATCGTGATGCGGGGATGTGGCATCGTGAGCTCACTGTTGGGGGAAAAAAAAACGTCAAGTCGCCAAGAGAGCAGAGGAACACTGCAATGGCCAGCTCAACTACAGGCCATATCTGTATGATTGGGCCATGATACAAAAGGTGACCCATTTATAGGTACCCCACGAATTTAATGTGGAGAAAATAGAGAGAGAGAAAACATTTGAATTCAAATCTTTGTGGTGTCTCCACCACCCACGATTTCACCTTGCTTCTCGGTGTCTGCGCGAGACAAAGAAGTAATCGCGTTTCACAAATATCATTCACCCGTTGCAAAGCACGTAAAAGGGGGCATTCGAAATCACTGGGAGATCCTCTATAAGTATACAACTTGTCAATAAATCTGTGGTTTTCATAAACGTGTTTCAAAATCAATTTCACGGTTTTTCTTTAACACTTCAGATTCCCTAGAATTACACAGCAATGTAGCATATACGTACGTATCTTCCTGTGATTATCGCGGATTTACTGCTCGTGGCCAAGAATGATAGCGCATGCTTGCGCATGCCTTGTTATACAGTCCTTTGCGGGAAGGTTGGTGGATCACGCAGATTTGTGAAATTCACAAAGACGCTGGGGCTACGTAGTGACCAGCAGATGGCATCGCAGCAAGCGGATTCTTGCATTCTGTGTGGGGCGTCATTATCTCCTTGTATCTCTCTGCCTTTTTTCTGGGTAATTGAGTTTCCTTCCACTTGAAGCCAGACACTCATTAATGGAATTGGCCAAACATCCCAAATGCAGGCACAATGGTAGCGGGGGAGGTGTTTTCTCCCCTGCCTGGTACACAGGAGGACGTGGGTTGGATCCCGGACCCTGGAGATGTCGCTATGTTGGAAGTTCACGTGTTCTCTCCCAGTAGTGGTTACGTGGATTTTTACTCAGGGTCCTCCAGTTTTGCCCTCCACATTTGAGAAACATGCGTTTAGATTAATTATTTGGCTAGGACTATAAATTCCCACGTGCCACTTTGTTGAGCTATCATTCGTCGCCAGGTCGCCTGTGAAACAGAGCTGATACCTCAGTGGGCTTTACCGGGTTAAATAAAGTAGATAGCGGGGGGAAAACCCTATTATTATTATTATATTGTGGTACTGGCAAAGGAGGCCTCATGATGTTAATATAGTAGTTTAGTTTATATAAAAAATATATACTTTTGTGAGGATTTCCTTGGTATAGGATATTATTCGTTTTATTTAGATGTTTATTTTCTGGAGTTTGCATTGAGACCTGTTTTTTTTCTCTCTTGGCATTACACAAGACCACATGAGGTCGCATCTGGTTTCCAGATCGTGAGATGAAGGGCGACAGTAAACAAATTATAGCGCTTTCTGTAGCAGACAGCAAAGTGAGTGCAGACTGGAAACAAATAAGCATATTAATCATAATACTACACACACACAAGGTTATTTCTAGACAGCAGAAGGTGCGATTGCAATCATAGGATCGGTCCCATCGCTGGATGAGTCAAAATTGTGGCAATCTTATTTGAGTTGTGATTATTGCATGAAGTGCCTAATGTCAACTGTTTGTCCGTTCCACCCATGTCTCATTTCAGTATCTCGCAGAAAACTGGAAACGCATCCAGAGTTCAAGAAGGACCATCATCCACATCCCATCTCTGGGTGAGAGGCCTGTCCCTCTATGCTCCCCGCCCTGGACTGCGATTGCCGTGGGGCTTTGTGGGGCTCCGCTAGTGATGTCGCGTCGGACTGATTCCCAGTGGAAGGAACGAAATGAGTCCCCTCCCTACTCTTAGTTTTTTCGGTAAAGTCATGTAGGTAAAAAATGAAATAAAAATTAATAAAAATATTATTTTATTTGTATTTATTTTAATTTCATTTTTTTACCTAAAAATATTCTTTTATTTTTATTAATTTTAATTTCATTTTTTACCTATGTGACTTTACCGAAAAATCTAAGAGTATAAATCCTTGCAGTCACAAAAGCTTCAAATCTAGAGCCCCCTCCCTGTTCAATTTCCACCCTTTCCGTAACCTGTCCCCAGGGCCCCTCTGGCCTTCTGGGGCCCGGTAGAGTTGCGTGGCCTGCACACTCGATAAGTACATGACAGAGGCACCGTGAAAAGGTAGAATTTAGCAGAACACCCAAAGCTTCATGCCAGGAAGGCCGTGTAAATTGTTGTAGGTAGAGATCATCATGGGCTATCGCTTCCTTCCTGGTGCAAGATCTTGTATGTGTTGGGTCGGCATGATTGGTATTGTACAGCATCACACCGTCTGGCATGGGGTCATTTTGTAATGAAGCCCATTTAGGAAATCTCCTTTGCAATGGTATTGCATTATTTTTAATGCAAGTAATTAACCCTTATGTGATGCTGAACCATACAATTAAGGTTAGAGAAACGGATATTGCCACAATGAGAGCATTAGAATACGATTGTGTTAGCTTTAATAGAGCGTTATGAAAGCCAATGGAGATAATTAAGAAACAATGGATTTAGCATTTTTGTAGGTATTTGCCTCTTTATTGTTACCCCTCTTTTCTGTGTGTTTTAGTTTTTCAACTGTCTCTTAATAAAAAAAATTAGTCTCAAAGCATTTGCACATGATTAAAAGAAGACATCGGTCAATAGATTAGATGGATAAGTAGGAGGATATTTTGGCAGTGAACACATTCACTAAATTTATTGGCCACTTTGTACTTAAGATCTTTAAAAAAAAACATCAGTCGCAAGTAGGGCTGAACGATAGCAAGTCACAAGCGATTTTTTGCTATGTGAAAAGTCCTATTACTTTCTGATTGGAATTGTTTTATTATTTATTATTATAACTTTCTTTATTTAACTTAACAATTGTTTTATGTTAGATTGTTCTTTTTCAATTAAAACATTTTTATAAATACATGTTGCAAGCAATTCATATCTTTTAAGTTATCATCCTTGCTTTATAATATATAGAGCAGTTCATATTTTGATGGTATCATGTGGTAATGCTCCATTACATGTTTAAAATCTATTACACAGTGAATATTGAACTGAAGCTTGACTTTAAAAAATTATCTCAAATCAAATCGCAATATCTGTCAGAAAAATCTCAATTAGATATTTTCCCCAAATCGTTCAGCCCTAGTCGCAAGCAAGTAGTTTGCTAATATAACCTTTTGAAACCAATGGATCGCTATTAGAGAACGCATGCAATTGGATATATTATGTTGACTGCGGAGAAAAGTGGCTGAGTTTAACAAGTAGGCTTTCGCGACTAATACGATCCATAATAGCGTTTTTTCTGGGTTAGATCGTGTCAATATAAATGTGTCGTTAAACCCGCCACCACCCGACACAGGTAATTAGTAAGGTTTGTCACGTCAACAAAACGTGTCAATTAGCTACTAGTTCAGCACACCGGTTGTGTGTTGGAGAGTAAGCTCACAGCATTTGCAATTCAAGCACAACGTTTCGCTGGTAATCACAGCCAGCCTCATCAGGCGGCAGCCAGGTTTGTGGAGAACTCCTCCTGTTTCGGTCTTAAGTGGGAGGACACCGTCCCGGTGGGATAGACGACGGCCACATGGCAAAGACTCGTGGCAGAGCGTGGGCACTCGATGGATTCTCGCTTCGCGGGACCACGCGAGATGGCCACGGCTCGGGCAGAAACTCCATCGGGCAGTGGATGGATCATGGCCGCCGATGATGCAACCCTCGCCGTTCACTAGCAGCCATATTTCTCAAACCGTTGCTCATTAAAAAACATTCTCGCTTCAACTTTGTTAACTTGGCCGCTGCGAGCGTTAGAGGGAAAAGATAATGAAGGCGCGGCGTTTTAAAAAATAAAACGGGGGCAGTGGATAACTCGCGGCAAAACGCAAAAAAAACCTAAAAACTAAAAGCCTGGTTAATGCCGAATGACCTCCCACAGGCCTAATTGCCGTGGCTGCCGCCGGATTATCATTTGCCCGCACTCCGCGCTCCGGTTAGTTATTACAGAGAGGGCTTCTCTTTTGGCCGGGGTCCCTGCGAGCGCCACGCCGGCCGCATAATGCAGCACCCTGCGTGGCGGCCCATAATAGGCTACACGCCACGCGGCTTTAAAAATCCTCCGACAACATCATTACCTTCCCTGTCTCCTCACCGAGCCATTACCCGCAGCCCCGGAATGGAGGCAATCTGCCGTCATTTAAAGTCGCGCTGAGCACGCCGCGGCGTGGCTTGAGCGCGGAATGAGCTTTTAACAATAAGGGGCCCGATTTATTTTGTGTTTCGTAAATCCGGGCAGCGATTACCCGTGCCCCATTTACCAAAACTGGCATGTGCAGTTATTTATTTATCTATTCGGCGCCTTCGGTCTTTTCATCATTATTATTTCATGTTGTCCTTCGGTTTTTAATTTCCACACATCTCTCTCTCTCTGTTTGTTGTTTTTGCCACTAAGCGCCGTTGTGGGCTGTGCGTGAAGCGGCGCACCTCGCTAACGATCGCCGCGGCTGTCGTTAGATGTGACTGGCACCGTCTCTAATGTCCTGCTGTAATTATGGCTTCTTCTTTTTTATCTTGGCTGGAAAAGAAAAATAATTTAGCGACGAGAGGAGCTGGATAATCAGCGCCGCCCGGTTATGAAAGCGTTAAGACGACGGCTGCGCTGCTCGGGAACAATGTGCTCGTACTTTGCAAAATTGCGTGACCCCACTGCTAATGCGGACGCTGTTTGGGCCCATTTGTAATAATGAGCCACAACAGGAGAAGAGGCAAAGCGGGCTCGGCCCCTACACTCAAATAAATATCGCGTATGAACTCAAAGGGAATCTTTAACCTGTGATTGCTTGTAATAGAAACTGTTTGTCAAAGTAATTGCGGTGTACGTATGAGATATACATTTTAATTTTATGCTCACATATATTACACAGGTATCCTGTATATATATAGCTTGTAATCCTTGTATGTATTATGTGCATGTATGTGTGTGTTTTGTTTTTATAGCAAACCCCAGCGATCCAATTTCGATTCCCGCTCATGACCAAATAACGGTGCCGAATATCTCAACTGGTCCTGGGCCTCCCCCAGGTCGACTCAGCCTTAATTGAGTACCTGGGGTGGCGTATAAACATCAGCACAGGGGGTACAAAGATGACCTGGCAATGGTGCTGGCCAGCCACCTCCTCGTGTGCCATGCTGGCCTTAATAGTTGCTCGCTAACAACACCTGTCCTAACATTCTGTTATTGAGCAGACAGAACATGATTTAACAGGGAAGCCACCCATACACAGGAGTATTTAGTGGTCACTAAGCCATCATTTGGCCATTCCGAATAGTCCATCAGGTGTCGCGATCCATTGCCCCTAGGCAGGCCTCATGGATAGGCCAGCCCGCAGGGTTATATGCTGTGTATATTTATTTCGTTATACGTATGTGTGTTATAATAAGACGAGTAGTCACAAACCTTTGAGCACGGGACACTGAATGTATGCTCTTGCGCGTGCCGTATATTTCATCTCTTGAAATTATTATTTCAATCATGAATGTGGTGGGGGCTGTTTTTTTTCAAGTACACAATTAACAAGTGGAGATGGGAACCTTGAAATGAGTATCATTTAGGTTGCCCTGACATTGTAACATCTCAATCTAAAACCCTTTTCGACTTGCCTACAAATAAAAAATAACATATGCACACGTGCGTCTATGTGTACAGACATATACGGTGGCACTAAGCACACTGCGTATCTCTGTATGTTGGGGCACACACACCAATGAAATGTAAAATAAGTTACCCATATAGCGTTCGCCAGTATCGATAGAAAGTGTGCCCCCCTTTAATGTCTTAAAATTGGACTTGCCCAATTGGCTGCCCCCCACAACCGCTCGCAGTGGAATCCTCTGGGCATCTGTTTCAGTGAAGCAGTAAATTAATCAATTCCTTTATTCAACCAAGTGAGAGCCCATGTGAAACGTGTCTCTGTTGCGAAGCAAACTTCACGTGTGTGTGTGTATATATGTACACACAAAACAATGATAAAGATCACCGTTTGTAGCCTTGAACATAATTGTCGGGGCGAATGGTGTTAGCGAGCGGCTGCTTTGGCCTTCCCAGTGCTGATGTCAACCGAGGTGAAGTCGACGACGATTCCAGATCATCTTTACTGATGTTAGCTCTGGCCGGGTATCAAAATCGGTATTGCAGTGCACTAACCAGTACATCACCGCTCCCCACATGCCCCCCATACATCCTAAACAGACTTTTGGGGCAAGTGCTGTATGCGAGCACCTCCGAAGGCCGACACGTCACACGCACACACGATACAACACACGTGTGGCCTGCACGAACGATGTACAAATAGGGCACGGTATAATTTGTAATGCAGAGAAACATTTCAGTAACCACCGAGTGCATTTTGCCGTGGCAGAGAACAAAAGGAAATTCGCTGCCGTATTAAAATGGACGGCGAAGGCAAAACATAACATCTGCCAAAATTGGCCTCCTGCCCATTACGACATTATTTATGATTGGGCAACTGTGTTGCTAAAACATGATCAATCAACGGCAAATGACTGCGTACCAGTGGCCAGGTGTGTCAGGAGAAGAGTCTGCTTTTCAGACATGGGTAATTAAGCCGGAGCAGGGTGGGGTGGGGGGAAATGCCGGTTTGCGTTCCCCTTGATCTGCCTTAATTAATCATCTGTACAGATACCTGTAATTACGCGCAATTTGTCAACTATTACGTGGAAAATTGCCCATCTTTTGATCGCGCGAGGACGCGGGAAGCAGCGTAATGATAGAAAATGGGCCCTCAGGAGCTGGAGGGCCGCACAGAGTTGCCCCCCTCGCTCTCTGCACGCGCATTTAAATCGCGGGTAGCCCCCCCCCGCCCCGCCCCCCCCCCCCCGGTATTAGCATGCGAATTTGCCTCGCACAACGAGACCCCGCATTTTCAAGACGACAAATTGCGTCGTGATTTGAAAGCGTCTTGGAAGTGATGGGCATGGCTGTGTGTATGTATGCGTACACGCGTGTGTATGTATATGGGGAGCGGTGGTGTAGCGGTTAGCGCGCTGTGTTGTGAACCCAGCGACCCGAGTTCGATTCCCGCTCACGGCCAACACCGGTGACGTTTATCTGAACCGGTCTTGGGCCTCCCCTAGGTCGAGGGAGACAAAGGCGGCCAGGCGTGGTGTTGGCCACCCACCCCCATCGTGTGCCGTGCTCGCCTACAGCACTTGCCCCAAAAGTTCATGTTGGCTCTACGGAGGATTTGTTTTTACTTTGTGCGTGTGTCTGTGTGTATGTTCCGTGTCCTGTCCGTGCCCTGCAGGTTACTCCAAGCACCTCCGTCGTCGCCTCAAACACTTTGATGTCCTGCAGAACCTGCAGATGGGCCGGCTCTGTGACATCAAAGGTCAGGACGGGGCGACGACGTTGGGACTCGCGGCGCGGGCTTTGTAATGCGAGCAGCTGCCATTAAAATAATTGCGGCACGTTTAATTCGCTCAAAAGACATGTTGATAATAATTAAATATGTGAAGGGTGTGCAGCGCTTTGTTAATCCACTGCTGGAAGCAGGGCCCCCCACAACCGCGTCGCACCTCCGATTAGCACGGTTGGGGCTACGTACGGCGAGAAAAAAGTTCCATGTACACACACACATACACACACACACACACATACACACACACATACACACACACACATACACACACACACATACACACAACAACAACAACAACAACCGCCATTCGCCACTAAGTGGCGGTGACGTCACCACGATGCTTGTGCCAGGCCAAGTGCACCTTGAGGCCACGTGAAGTGTCGAAAGCCCGCTGGCAGGAGGTCACGGGGCAGACCCAGGTGCCACTGGTCGACTGACCGAGATGACCGAGATGACTGGCTGATGCACCACCTGTGCCCCCTACTGTGCCAACTTGCTGTGCTTTAGCCACCCGGCGCTCCGCTCGTTGTTGTGAGCGTCGCTCCTCCGCCCTCCGTTGTTGTTGGAGGGCGACTGCCTCCAACTGCCCAGTAGCGTCCTTCACGAGCCTCCTCCACTGAGGCCGATCTTGACACCGCTGGTACCAGTCATCGGCAAGTCCACTCAGCTCCACGTCCTCCTGTACCACATCACTCCATCTCCTCTCCAGCCCGCGCCGCGCCCGTCTAGCCCCCTCGATCCGGCCGAACAAAAGCTGTTTAGGCATGCGGTGGCTGGGCATGCGGGCTACATGACCCAGCCAACGCAGCCTTGCCTGCCGGAGGAGCTCACTGATGGGACTTTGCCCAGATCTTTCAAGGATTTGTGAGCTCCTCACACAATCCAGCCTGGTTAAACCCAGGATGGATCGTAGGCAGGCCAGCCTAAATGTTTCCAACCGGCGAAGATGCTCCACCAGGGGGGTCCACGTCTCGCAAGCGTAGAGAAGGGAGGGAATGACCGTGGCCGAGAAGACCTGAAGCTTCGTGCGGAGCGACAGACCAGGTAGCTTCCACACAGCGTTACGCAACCGATGAAAAGATATTGCCGCTCGACTGATTCGGAGTGAGACCTCTGCTGATAGACTGGAGCCGGTCATAAGCACACTGCCCAGGTATGGGAAACTCTCCACTCTCTCCACAACTGCCCCATCACCAATTGGGAGTTGTGGGGGTGGAGTGTCCGATGGTACAAAATACCCAGGCAGGTGCTTGGTTTTGGTGGGGCTGATGGTAAGGCCCCACCTCTTAGTGGCACGCTCCAGTCTCAGCAGCAGCGCCTCCAACTCCTCTTCTGAATGAGCAGCTATTACCAAATCATCGGCATACATAACGTGGTTGACCAATAGGGAGCCATCCCTTGATCGCACCCGGGCGTCGATCAGCCTCCCATTATATCTGTACCAAACGGAAATTCCCCCGGTACAGCTATTGAAGGCTTCACGAACTACGCGGTCAAAATAGATGTTAAATAATGTGGGAGCCAGAGGACATCCCTGTCGCACCCCAAGGTGTACAGGGAAAGGCTCCGACTCCCGGCCACGTAGTTTTACCCGGGCCCGCTCACCATCATGAAGGTCCTTAATGATCGTGAGCAGAGGGTCAGGGACTCCGAAAGCACGAAGAACAACCCAGAGTCCAGTCCTACTGATGGTATCATAGGCCTTGACCAGGTCAATAAAGCAGAGATGTAGGTCTTTTTGGAATTCCCTACACCTCTGCTGTAGCAGACGGACAGAAAATATGGCATCTGTGCAGGACCGCCCTTTCCTGAAACCGCATTGGGGCTCCGCAAGCCCCTCCTCAGCGTGCCTAGCAAGGCGATGTTGAATAATCCTTGCCAGGACCTTACCCGGCACACTGAGGAGTGAGATGCCCCTGTAGTTGTTACAGTCTGTGCGGTCCCCCTTCTTAAAGAGGGGGACCACCAGGGCATCCTTCCAGTCCTGCGGAACCCGTCCAGTGGTCCAGACTGTTGTTATGATGTCATATAGGGCAGTCTGTGCACAAACGCCACCCTCCCTCAGCATTTCGCTTGGGAGATCATCTCTGCCCGGTGCCTTCCCTGGTCTCAGACTCCGGATCGCCCTCAGTACTTCCTCAACAGCTGGAACCTCAGCCAGCCACTCACAGGGGGTGACCTCTTCCAATATTTGAGGCACCGCAGCCTCAGCAGGGTTATCCCCACTTTGTGCCATGATGTTTTCCTGGCTGAGAGAATTTCCCTCCCCCAGGACCTCACAGAAATGCTCAGCAAATCTGCAAACCTGTTCCTGGGGGTCGGAGATTGGATCACCGTTTTTTCCTCTAATGATGGTAATAGGTGTGGCGCTGCAGGTTACTTTTTTGATGGAGTTAAATAGTGATTTGTGATCACGGGCCACTGAGGCAGACTCCATCTCCTCAGCAACCCGCGACCACCACCCATCCTTACAACGCCTTACGGCTCTCCGAACTTCCGAGCGAAGGCTGCGGTAAACCTCCTCATTCTCTGACGTGGGATGCTGTAGGCGATGAGAGTGGGCCTGTCGCTTTTTCTCAATTAACCTGAACACCTCCTCTGTCAGCCAGGGTTTCTGGGGAGGTCTGGACCGCGTACCCAAAGCAGCCATTGCAGCTGCATGAGTCACAGTCCTAAACCTCGCCCATTTACCCTCGACATCAGGTGGAGTGGGGGACGATGCCAACCCCAGCTGCAAGCGATGATGAAATTCTCGCTTGCAACTTTCATCAGCTAACTGAGACCAGGCCACTTTTGGTTGGAATGGGATCCTGGGTGTACACCCACCACCGGAGTGGAAGAAAGGCAGGCGCATCTTACAGATGACTAGTCGATGGTCAGAGGACAGATCAGCTCCACGGTAGGTCCTGGTGTCAAGGACATGGGTTCGCATCCGCTGGTCCGTCACTATGTAGTCCAGCAGATGTTCTTGCTTGGACCCGGCATGTATCCATGATGTTGTGTGGATGCGCCGATGCCGGAAGAGCGTGTTGGTAATTACAAGCCCATGGGCTGCACAAAAATCTAGCAGCCTCCTACCGTTATTATTGAGCTGATCTGGCCCATGCCTTCCAATCACTCCAGACCAGGTGTCAGCATCATGACCAACACATACACACACACACATACACACACACACATACACACACACACATACACACACATACACACACATACACACACATACACACACACACATACACACACACACACATACACACACACACACGCACACACACATACACACACACACACACGCACACACACACATACACACACACACACACGCACACACACACACATACACACGCACACACACACACATACACACACATACACACACATACACACACACATACACACACACACACATACACACACACACACATACACACACACACACATACACACACACACATACACACACACATACACACACACGCACACACACACACGCACGCACACACACACACACGCGCGCGCGCGCACGCACGCACGCACGCACACACACACACGCTGGTCGTGAGGCCTGTTTGACCATTCTTCACCACAATGGTCGGTGTGAGTTGATGAAGTGGTAAGGAGGCCCGAGACTGGTTCCCATATCACTCACTACTGACGTTAGCCGTGGCTGTGAGTCAGGAATCTAACTCAGATGGAACATGACACGGTTTCCTTCTCTTCATGTGGGCGTATTTGTGTTGCTGTGGGAGCGGTAGTGCAGTGGTTAGCACACTGCGCTAGGAATCGATGTGAATCCAATTCCCGGCCACAGCTGGCATCGGCGGTAATTATCTGAACCGTTCGTGGGTCTCCCCTAGGTTGACTCGGCCTTAAATGAGTACTTGGCACGGTGTGTAAATATCAGCAGCGGGGAGAGAGAAAGGCGACCAGGTGGGGTGCTAGCCACACAAACCCCCTCGTGTGCTTCATTGGTACTTGCTGATGGCAATATTAACGCAATACAGCGGACCTTTGCCTTCACCTGTGTGGCAGATCCCAATGTGGACGTGATCTACGTGAGCCCCGTGCCGCTGAGCGACGAGGTCCTGCACTACTATGAGCGGCTGCTGGGGCTGTCGGCATCCGGAGGGGACGGGGCGGGCCGCTACACCATCATCGTCCCTGACGCTGTGGTCCGCTTTCCCGTGAGTTGTTGATGGCTGTTGGATTGCCACTGGTTGTGTGTTGCAATTCACCGCCACCCACCGGGACCCTGCATAGCGAATCAATGAATCTTCACTGCTGCGTAGGTTCAATTATTCACAGCTGCGTAGGTTCGTTCGCGGTTGTGCTGTGTGGCTCACGATACTGAAGCGTCTACATTTTGAGTCGTCGTCGTCGTAGTCCCCGACGCTACAGGCGACTTGCTTCGCGGGCGATCGATGTGAACTGCCTGCTCTAACGTATGGGATCGGAACATGCCCAGGAAGCATGCGACATTCGGCCAACGTTGGCATGCGGTTGGAACCGTTGGACCGGCGTTGGACCGGCGTTGGCCCGGCGTTGGCCCGGTGTTTATTGGGTGGACACTGACAAAGAAAATGGAAACGAATGCTCGAACGTGCGAAGCACGGAGAGGAGCACGCTTGGAATGACGGTGAGAGAGACGTAGAGGAACAAGTGGGTGAGAGAACAGACGTGCAAGCTAGAGACGTCTTATTTACTGTGAAGAAAAGTACCGTAAGTATGCTTGGACAAGACAAGTCAGATTGGATGATGGCTCATGGACCAGGATAACAACTGTGCGGTAGTCGAAGGATGGAACATACCCAACAGGATATCAATGCAGCAATGAAAATGCAGGTCCTGGGTGGATTGTCACTTTGCAGGTTCGATGACATGAGGATGCCTTCATCCAGAAGTGGATAGGCAATGGCTGCTGTTGATGATATTGAGGTTCACCTATTGTAGAGGCTGAAGCAGATTTTATGCAGCAATGTGTCACTGCTGTGCCAGCAAGTGGTAGATACAGAGGCTCTGTTCCTAATGCTTTCGCAGATAAATTACTACGCACACCGTCTCACCAGGATACCATTAGAAGCAAGAGCTCCTGAAGCCACAAATAAAAAGGTCTGAAGTGTAATGTTTTATCTTAATTTCTTTTCACGTTCTCTTCCCGGTATATTTTAACACAGAGGGTATTTTTGTGAGTGTAGTTAGAGGCAATCATCTCCATCAGGAATTATAAAATGTAATCTTCCTCCTGTCATGTGTCTGTGTGTCTGTTTCTCCTTCGGCACTCACATTAAAATTACATAACCTCTACACCAATCATTCTAAAACCCTTAAACCAATCTTTATAAAACCGTTGAACCAATCGTTCGAAAATCCTTAAACCAATCACTACAAAATCCTTAAACCAATTGCTACAAACCCCCTAAACTGATTACTACAAAACCCCTAAACTGATTGCTACAAAACCCCTAAACTGATTGCTACAAAACCCCTAAACTGATTGCTACAAAACCCCTAAACCGATTGCTACAAAACCCCTAAACTGATTGCTACAAAACCCCTAAACTGATTGCTACAAAACCCCTAAACTGATTGCTACAAAACCCCTAAACTGATTGCTACAAAACCCCTAAACTGATTGCTACAAAACCCCTAAACTGATTGCTACAAAACCCCTAAACTGATTGCTACAAAACCCCTAAACTGATTGCTACAAAACCTCTAAACCGATTTCTACAAAACCCCTAAACTGATTGCTACAAAACCCCTAAACTGATTGCTACAAAACCCCTAAACCGATTGCTACAAAACTCTTAAACAAATCGCGACAAAACCCCTAAAATGATCACTGCAAACCACTAAAATGATCGCTGCAAAACTTTTAAACTCCTAATCCAAACACTATGAACCCCTATTCCAATCATTATAAAGCTCCTCAACCAATCACGATAAAACCCGACATCAATCACTACATAACCTCTAACCCAATCACTACGAATCCCTAATCTAACCATTATAAAACTCCTAAACCAGTCATTATAAAACCCGACACCGATCGCTATAAAACCCCCAGACCAATCACGGCAAACCCCTAAACCAATCGCTACAAACCTCACCGCACAGCTTAACAATACCAGTGCCCAGATCCGCATAGTTTTTGGCGTATATTGACAATGAAATAGGTCAACAAAGTTTGTTTTTCAATAACATAACGTTTTTATGCGTACCAGCACGGTTATCACACACGTGTTATAACACCAGCGCCTGCGCGTTGCCCGCGTGTTGGATCACGGGCGCCTGGGTGTCGCCTGCGCTCATGCCTAACCCGCCCGCGTCTATGTGCGCGTGTTTACATTTCTGCATGTCTCTTTGTAAGCTTACTGCTGGATGAAGCCCTACCCATGCTATGTAGGTGTTCGTGTGACCATATTTGTGTAATTTTATTGACACCGGGCGCAAATATGGGGCGCTTCTTACTGTTTGGAGGATCTTATAATCCGGGGAAATGCGGTAAACATCAGTCTCCTGTTATGCTCAGACTCCTTCTATAGCGAGGAGGTGTAGAACAAAGCATCGATTTACCAATTCATATGAATTAATCTCACATTACCTGCAGCAGCCACTTGTATCTGCAAGAATCAGTATTATTATGTTTGTTTCTATCCACACGATGTCACACCCGACCACACCACCTCGGAAGCAACAGCCCTTCGCTTGGAAGCGAAACCAATTCACCCTTCATGGGACCTCCTTTGCCAGTACCAAAATATAAATATGCTCACCCCGAGCTCTCATTACTCTGATAGTGCATTGTCTTTGAACTGTGCGCCTTTTGGCGTCATCTGGTCGAACACCATATGAGACTAGGCTCTAAAGAAAGCTGTCTCTGGTGTGGACCAATCAGTTTCAAGGACAATGCATACATTATCAGAGTATTGTTTTTTGTTTGCATTTGACTGCAAGTATTGTGGTTAATGTTAACATGATTCCTTGCAAAAGATGTCAATTTTGTTGCCAGAAAAAAGGGGAAAAACCCTATTTGCAATTCAACCTTGTTGCTGCACTGCTTGCAAGCACCCCTACCCCCCGACCCCTCCACCCCCCCAACCCAACCCAACATCTCTGCCACCACCACCACAGCAGCTGCCCCTGTCCCTGGCGAGCCTGCTGGAGTACAGCCCCGGCACGTTGCGGCGCATCCGCGCGCTGGTGAGCGGCCGCGAAGCCTACGTGGTCCCGGGCGGCACCGGCGAGGCCGACCTGGCGGTGGCGGACGAGCTGGGCCTACCCGCGCTGGCGCCCGAGCCCACCGTCGCCCGCCTCTGTGGCTCCAAGTCGGAGGCCCGACGCATCTTCTCCAGCGCCGGCGTGTTCACGCCGCCCGGCGAGGAGCACATCCGGTCGATGCCGCAGGTGAAGGGCGGATGAGCGAGCGGGCGGCCGGGCGGAGGAGCGGGCGAGCGGGCCCCGGTGGTTGATCGATCATAAACAAATGCGTTGCAGATTTTACGGGATTTCTGTGTCACGTGGAAGAATAGTGTTGAGGAAGGCATCCCACTGGGATTTTAGCACACAGCGTTGGTGTACGGTGATTTTTTTCTGCAATATTTTGCTGTCTTTTCTTGGATTTTCTGTTTGCACTTAGTCACATATTCACTTTAAGATGTTTTTTGTTCATGTTTTTGTTTTTTGTTTATTGCGGTTGCACCCGATTCAAGAGCCGAATGGCTCACAGGGCTACACCTAATAAATGAACTTGATCTTGATTGCCCTGCCCTACCTACGGTGTTAAAATCCCTGCCTAATATGGAGTGTGGTGTTGCGAGGCGACGAAGGAAGGACGGATGGGAGGCCGGCATGGGATGGAGGGAGCTTGAGCCGTGGACCTGCACTTGGGCAGAGAACGTTAGAAGACACGGAGAGAGTGTGCCTGAATGCAACCGCATCTCCAGACACTGTGCATAGTAGTTGGATAGATACATGTACACGCTATGTATATAGTATATAGTGTGTGTGTATTTTTTTCTTCGAGGGACAAACCAGCAACTTAGAGACAGAGGCACGAAGGAATGTCTTGAGTCTGGAATTGAACAGGGGCAGGGAGCTGACAGCACAAATGGATAAGGGGGAAAGTAGTTCCAAAACACGGGGGCAGCAAAGGAGAACGCGTGAACTCACACTGATGGGAACATCGACTGCTGGCGGCTTTGGCAGGAAGCCCGTGGTTGCAGGAGCAGGGGGTGCGTCGAGTAGAGAGAGCAGTGTGAGATGAGATGGTAGAGGCAGGCGAGTGCGTGGAGGGGAGTAGAAATGAGAAGAGGTAGGCAGGGGCGAGTCCTTGGTTGCATTTTGAAGATGGTGAGGATGATCTTGAAATTGATCTGGGATTGTATTGGGAGCAAGTGCAGAGATTGGAGGATTGTGCCGATCTCATCCCATTTACAGGTACAAGTGAGTAGTCTGGCCGCCACATTTTGGACTATCATGCCGTGTTGACCGTAGAGGTTGTTTGACCATACTTCACCAAACCAATCCGTGTGGACAGACCTGTTCTCCACCTGAGGATGGCTGCTTGCGTTGTGTCCGAAAAGTCGTGAGAATAATTTAATTATGTTTTATTATTATTTTATTATTTCCCTTCTACGTGATTTTACCGAAAGAACCAAGAAGACCGTGTGGGTTTGTGAACATGGGGGTTCAGTGGGGGGGGAGGGGGGGGGGGGGATCTCAACCAAGACCTGGTCGGATTTGACTCACCAATGACGTTAGTCACAGTCGGGAATCGAACTCGGATTGCCAGGTTCGTCGTGCAGCAGAGCGCTCGATCCCTGTGCCGCCGTTCTTCTACCGCACCGGATTATTATTATTACTACAGTGTAATCACTGTTAATTAGTGGGGGCGTTTACAGTTTGCGGAAACCATGCGCACAGCGGGGTTTCCAGACGTCCATATATTTGCAGAGAATTGGAAAAAAGCGAGGGCAACTTGACTCCCGCTCAAGTGGCGTCAACGAGCGTTCAGGTCATAAATTCCGCGTCCTCGTTTGCACACGGTGGGGGCGGCAGCGCTGTACACGGTGCTCCATTCCTTACGCTGATATATATATAAAAAACAATTCTGGTCTGTTATTGCAATTTGACGACAAAAAAAATTTACCCGTAAAAACAAAGTTTTTCACTATAAATCCTTTATATGCGTGGCGGCTAGAGTCCTCTCGTCCTCTGGCTTGAGATGGCTGCCACCTATGGGTCAGATGATTGCCTGCCACCATTAAGCAATCGGTAATTAAATATCATTTTTTTCCCCTAAAATGTTGAAATTTTTATTTCACGAAAATAAATTGTCACGCACAACGAGTCTGTGTGCAAAATGTCAGCTCGATTGGATCACAGGAAGTGGGTTAAAAAACGACCGAAAGATTTGCACGGTCGTAAGCAAGCAAGCACGCACGCAAGCAAGCAAGCGAACTTAATATAAAGGATTTAAAAAAGACTTAGAATATTGGCAACCCCCGGCAAACGGCACGGTCGGATTGCGCAATGAAAATCAAAAGTTTGAAGGCGCATTCGACGTGATCGACTACGGGAAAACTGGGTCAGTGGCCGACGTTAGTTCAAGTCATTTTGATTTCACCATTAGCACGCACGACTGGGGCAACCATTTCCTTACCGAGGGCCGAAAAAGACTTGAAAATACCTCTTTGGTGAGCCACACGTTTGTCGACAATGTGTGGATTTACCGTATGCTCAGAACTACTTGAAAGACAACCGGTGAATTCACATGTGCGAATATTAGAAACACATATTGTTGGTGCCATCTCGAATATAGTTCACTCAGGTACCCAATTAGTTTGGCTGAGATCCTTGCAGTGATGGATTCATGTCGTCTGTGGATGGGGCTGTATATATGTTGGCACAGTAGGGGGCACAGGTGGTGCATCAGCCAGTCATCTCAGTCATCTCAGTCAGTCGACCCGTGGCACCTGGGTCTGCCCCGTGACCTCCTGCCAGCGGGCGTTCGACACTTCACGTGGCCGCAAGGTGCACATGGCTTGGCACAAGCGTCGTGGTGACGTCACCGCCACTTAGTGGCGAATGGCGGTTGTTGTTGTTGTTATGTTGAAGTTCTTTCGCACCTGACGTAGCCAACCATGCTAATCGGAGGTGGTAGGCCTCCTCTGCCCACGTGCCATACGAATTGAAGACTGTGTGAGCCATATCCGACTCGTGGCCTGTCAGTTCCCCCGTTCTGTTTTAGTAGGAAGAAAAAAAACCTTGTCCCACGCGCCGTCAGCGTGTGCCAGAGACTGTGGCATCCCGACGGAAATTCTGCACCGCACGGCCGCTATTGGTGTTGCGCTGGCACAAGTGAGGGCGAAGTGGCTCGCTGGTGTTCGCTCAAGTTCACCTTAGGATATGCGCAGCAGCAGCAGCAGCAACACCTCCTCATTTAATTAAAGTGCTTTTTACAATGGCAGGATTATTTCCGAGCCGTTGTGTTGACAGCATCCTCGGGCAGGCGTGCTCAAAAAGACGTATAAGAATATTGGTTATCAAGGATAAGCAATAAGACAATTCTCCTGAAGCATTTTCATTTTGCAAAACCGCATTACGGCAGCTTCAGAGTAGAAAGTCAACCTCCGCGCGCATTTCGGTGATGGGTCTTTTCCCGTTGCCAACCTGGTTACGGGGCCCATTTTATTGGGAAACGAGAAACATGGTCCTCCATTCTCGACAATATCGTTTCTTCCCTCCGTGCCCTGCCTCCCGCCACAAGAGCACCGGGGTGACGTCGCAATCAAGTTGCATAGGCGGTGCCACCGCACCAAGGGCCCGCAGGCCAAAGGGGCCGAGGTTGGCCCATGCCGTACACGCGACGCCACCGGTCGCAACGGCAGGAGACGCGCGTGCGGTCAATCACGCGCGAGCGTTGCCGAGCCACCGTGGAGCCTTAACAGGTACGGCTGGCGCGATGGAAAGCTAAACAATGGGGGGGCTCGGTGACATTCCGTTTGATGACTCTGTGAAACAAGTCGTCGAGAACACGCTTGCACGATTGGGATGGGTGCCCTCTCCATAAAGCCTCTTGGTTTACTCTTAAGTGACACAGACCGTAGCTTTGGGGCGTATAGGTTGCACGTGATATTGGCGGAGGGAAAAAATACAAAAACACGCTCAACTATAAACATTCCCCCGTGCCTTTGGGGGTCAATTTGCAAAGGCGTGCATTAACAGGTGCGCTCGCTATTTCTTTTCACACCTTGTTAGCAAGTGCCCATCTGATACACACTATATTTTCCTGCCTCGGGCTGCTCTTCGTACCGATGGCTCACGTGGAATACTATATTGAAAACGCAGCATGAGCACACGCATGGAACACGCGGTGCACACGTGCGTACGTGCGCGCGCACACACGAATGTGCGAGTGCGCGCACGTGCACATGCGTGTGCACACTCCCCCGCGTGTGTCTGTCCGTGTGCGTACACGCGCGAGTGGAAGCGCGCGCGCGAGCGAGCCTCGGACGGCAATAAATTAGAGCATTAGTGACTGTGAAGCGCGATGAATTACAATGTTGATGAAATTAGTAAAAAACAGCTAAGGTGCCAAACTAGATTACTTACAAAACAAATGATTACCAAGTGGCAGCGGAGTGTGCCCATTAGTCACTGCGGCTCTGCCGTACGCAGGGGTTCGCGCACACCACAATGCAGCGGGAGGTTAAACAATATTGCCACACGAGTAATAAATTGAAAACAAATATTCCTCCCAAACACGATGCTGTCTGCACAAGCCGCCATCCTTTAAAAAATCCATTTTGCTCCGCCCGCACTTTTCGGCGGCGTAATATTATTACACAAATTACGCAAACTAATGGCCTGCGACCGATTTTATTGTTTTTGGAATGAATGTGCTCTCGGATCATCTTTGCTAATCTTTCCCGGACGGCAGCGATTTGTTTCCGACGCGGTTCAGGGGGCGGCGCTCGGCTGTGTTGCTTCTCACGCGGGCGCGGAGCGTTCGCATCCCAGATTACAAGCAGCGTGACACAAATAGCCTAGCGGCGGCGCCTCTGTCATCGGGACGAAATAAATAAATAATGCGTGCTTTACCACACGCACCAAAAAAAAAGCCCTCTCTACTTTCCACCCCCCTGCTTCCCTCCCCCGCATTCTCTCTCGCTTTGCTCGTGCTCTGTCTTTGTCTCTCTCTCGTGATTTTGTTGTTGTGAAAGTGGATGATTTCTTTACTGAGCAAATTAAGACCGTACTTACTGCTAATTTTCGAAACATGCTTAAATATGCTCGTCCCGCGCAGTGACTCGTCAACCGCTTTTTAAATTAACCAGTGCATGGCGGTGGCATTAATTGTAGTTAAATTACCAGACAGAAACGAGTAATTAATGAGCATTTATAATGCGCGATATAAAATGCGGCAGGGGAGGGGGGGTTGTGTGTAGAAAAATTATTAAATCTGCGTTTGAGAAATAGCGGGGCATTTATTTCCACTATCACTGTTTTGTACCGTTCCGATACTGGGGCGTACCTGCCCTGAGTCACGCTAACCTCGTAGTTGCGCTCCTCCCATTGTAATGCCTCACAGCCGGTGGCTTTTAGATGTTTCTGGCAGCGATGTTCACGTCCGCCATTGGCCTCAAGAACCACTGGGTGGGTGGCTCAAGGGTACTGGTGAATGCAATGGTCAGTTGTTTTAATAGCGTCCCTGATTCCCACTTGTATCGAGGAAGGAGGCTGTCTTGGAAACAATTAACTAAGTAGTTGGAAAGGCTCCTGCACTGATGTGGGCCTTGACAAATGTCAAACACAAGCCGGTACTAACTCGTTCTGTGGAAGGATTCAGTCTTTTTCTAAGCTGAAATCACAAATACAACTGCACTGCGTGAGCGTATGTGTATTTCCTAAATTGTTGTTAGATGTGTGCTGCACACTTGTATGCACATATTGCCGTGCAGTCAAGTCTTTTTAAATCCCTTATATTAAGTTCGCTTGCTTGCTTGCTTAGGACCGTGCAAATCTTTCGGTCGTTTTTTAACCCACTTCCCGTGATCCAATCGAGCTGACATTTTGCACACAGACTCGTTGTGCGTGACAATTTATTTTCGTGAAAATTTGTTCCAAATTTTTACACTGTTTAGGGGAAAAAATTTACATTTTTATTTACCAATTGGTTAATGCTGGCACACAATCATCTGACCCATAGGTGGCAGCCATCTCAAGCCAGAGGACGAGAGGACTCTAGCCGCCACGCATATAAAGGATTTATAGTGAAAAACTTTGTTTTTACGGGTTAATTTTTTACCCATGACAAATGCCACAGGTGGTGTGTCGCTCATCGTCATTGCTCTACGAAGCGGATTCATTCTGATAAGAACTGGCATGGCACCATGTGACACGGTGCGGAGGAGCGCGATATGACTTGGCATGTGTCATCTGCGGTGCGGCGACCAGCTAGTGGAGAGCCTGTCGCGGCTCATGGCCGCCCACGCTGGTGTGCGGTGCTGGCTGCTCAAGACGGAGGAGGGCCCGGGTGGACGCGGCACGGCAAGCTGCCCCGTGGCCCAGCATCTGCCCTGCCACCGCTGGGTGCTGAGCGAGAGCCGGCGCTACGGCTCCGAGCAGTGGAGGCATCGCTGGGCACGGGTGAGAACCCTCTTTGAATGAATAAACTCATCATAATAATCAGAACAAAATACATGAAATTGTTTGGAAGTTGTGTTTGTTTTCATTATTTATATCACTGCTGCTTTTCTGTAGCTTTAAAATTGAGCATTGACTGATGATACTGATGACAGTGATGATGATTTGGATGATGATTTTGGGAATGGTGGTGGTGATTATATTGATGACAGTAGCAATGATGATGATTTTGGTGATGGTGGTGGTAATTGTCGTGATGATAGTAGCACATCACGGTCTGTTTCTGATTTTTGCATTCTCCCACATCTCACGGAAACCGCACGGCACTCTCAGCGCAAATTCGCCAATAAACCCTATTCGCCTCTTTCAGTGCGGCCAATTTATCATTTTAAAAAAACGTAATCAGTATCGGGGCTGTTTCTGCAAACATTACAAACCTCGAAGCTCTATCCTTCCATCCTCTATAACTAGGTTTGTGCGTTGTGCTTGGCGCACTACAGTACCCTATGAACCCAGCGACCTGAGTTTGATTTCTGGCCACAGCTGACATTTGGTGTGTGCGAGTAACGTCTGAACTGATCCTGGCCCCCCTCCTGTTACCAACCTGCAATGGCCAATGTGGTGAAGTATGGTTAATAAGTATAACCCGTAAAAACAAAGTTTTTCACTATAAATCTTTTATATGCGTGGCAGCGAACTTAATATAAAGGATTTAAAAATATATTCGCCTGTGGAGGACGCGGGGATCGATCCCGCGACCTTTGGCATGGGAAGCGAGGGCGCTACCAACTGCGCTACTCCGCCACGGCCTGTGGAGGGGTTACGCTCTGGGCTCTTATACTGTGACGTTCAGCCAAAGCGATGAATGAGTTCTATTTGAATATATGTAAAATATTTTTTTTTGCCTAAAAAGTGTAAAATTTTGGGAATTTTTTTTCACGAACATTAATTGTCTGGCACAACAAGTCTGTGTGGAAAATGTCAGCTCGATTGGATCACGGGAAGTGGGTTAAAAAACGACCGAAAGATTTGCACGGTCGTAAGCAAGCACGCAAGCACGCAAGCAAGCAAGCAAGCATGCGAACTTAATATAAAGGATTTAAAAAAGATCCATCATTACCTGTACGAAATTGGGTGGCCTATGTTCAGCATTTGACTGGCAATGGACTGTACATTTGTAAGAAAATATTATTATGATTTAAACCAAACTGTATTCTAAAATTAGTTTGCTAAACTTCCTGGTTATCATAGTTCTACTGATGAAGATGGCAATGGTGATGATGATGGATTTGGCCAACAATCCCAATACAGGAACATCCTGAGTCGTATGACTCAGTGTGATTTAAATGTCTTTCCAAACCCCACCCCCAACCCTACCCCCCCCCCCCCCCAAAAAAAGTGGGACATTGTGAAAGTTTATTTCATGGTGCATGCACTGGATAGTAATTAAAATCTGTGTGCTGTGATGCTCAGTGAAGTTCTCCGAAGCATGTATTCATTACATTTGGCATAATAAGCCAGCGCCGGCACCACCACCAACAACAACAAAAAAACTAAATAAAAATATTATTCTAAATTTAATTAATAAGTATACTTGAACATAAGGGAGAGATCTCTGCTGTTGTAGTGAAGTGCGTGTGTACATGTTGGGTGGGATTCATGATACTTCAGCAGATCTTTGCTACCTGGAATCACATTTGCAAGCGGGGATTCATTTCGCATGGCATTTTATTCAGGACCCCCTCAACGCCCAACCCCTAACCCCCTGGGGCCCCGAACGACAACTTTGTTTGCGATGCTCAGCCCCTGTACAGCTACGGCTAAAATTAAGCACCTTATTCTTAGGTTTTTTCGGTAAAGTCACGTAAATAAAAAATTAAAATGAATAAAAATAAAATATTTTTTTATTTTATTTTATTTGTATTAATTTAAATTTCAATTTTTTACCTACGTGACTTTACCGAAAAAACCTAAGAATATGAATCCTTGCAGTCACGAAAGCTTCAAATCTAGAATTAAGCACCTGGTTATGAGTGTTGATTAATAAAAACCAAAAAATCACAACCTTATATATTCAGAACTCGAAATCTGAGAATCGGGCTCATTGTTTGTATTCCGCACTTCGAGATGTAGCAGTGTCGCAGCAGGTGGCACACTGCGGTACGAACCAGGCGACCTGAGTTTGATTCCTGGCCATGGCTTACAAGGGTTTTTTTTAAATCTTAACTCGCCCTGGGCTACCCCCTTCACCAACCCGCACTGACCAGTATGGTGAAGTATGGTCAAACAACCCCCATGACATACACAGCCTTCATCCGGTAGTAGATTAACAAAGGTCTGCAAAAAAATTACAGGGCGTATAGGCATGCAAATTCATTTTGAATGCTAAATAAATCCAAACTGCATTGGATATGGCATCCTGCATTCGGATGTTTGGCCAGTTCCGGTCATGTTTGGCTCATGCCTGTTGTGCGGTGTTATGACAAAACCCACCATGCATATGACGAGATAACACCCATAGTGTCGCACAGATAGAGTCAGGAATCCATTGCTTTATTACCATCTCCTGATCTCCTTGCAGCCCAATCCTACAACATCTGAACAGACTCAAGCCCGCATAGCTTATGCGATACAAAGATGCTGGGTGCATTCAGGATGATTTACTCATTAAAATTACAGATGGTTCATTATGATTCTATTATTATATGGACCTGTACGGAGCCAAAGATTTGGTGTACATTTAACATCGATTATTGTCTAATATATTAATGTAGAGTAAATATAGTTTTTAATGGTGTGCGATGACACACGGTGACATATATTATTTATATAGAGGCAATATATATATATATCTATGTCAAGTATGTGCAAAGTGTAGATACGTACAATTTTACACAAGCGTTGAGTGGCATTATTCATTTATTGCTTTACATCGGGGTGATAAATTATTTTGTATTTCTTAGCGCATCGCTTATTTTGCGTCCGTGTCCTGTTCCGCGTTATGCACAGATCCCCGCGGCCGGTGGGCAAATGAAACGGCTCTCTCTCCCTGCGAGAGAGTGTGCACTGCACAGTGAGTGTGTGTGTGCTGCGCCCCGAACCCGGCATCCCAAGGTCGATTTCAACCCAAAGCCAACATCAGCTACAAATATCTGAACCGGTCCTGGGCCTCCGCTTAGGCTGGCTCAGGGTAAACAAAAGCAGCCTGGCATGGTGTTGACTCCCTCCCCATGTACCACGCCGGCCTTAATAGGTGCTCGCATAACAGCACTTGCCCCAAGAGCCTGTTCAAATCTATACAGGGGACCTTTCTCTTTGGACCTGCACAGCCCACGCTGGCATCAATTAAATTCCGGTGGGAAGGTGCGTTATGAAAACACCCCGGCCTTGCCTGAGTTCTATCCTCACAAAACAGGGGAGAGTCACTGGCAGCAATTAATTTGTCTCCCTCCCCCCTCCTCCTGCTCCTTCGCCAGGGGTGGCCCTGCCTCTTTTTGTCCTTTAATTGATTAACTCAAGCGAGCAGAATTGCGCGTGGTACCTTTTGGCGGTGCTCGCGGACGCTTGTTGATAGAGGGTTGTGCAGTAATGGATATCTAGCTCTCCGATGATGGGTTTTCGGGTTGTTGCCGCGCGTTATTCGGAACCACATCCATCCGACGTTTTCACTCCAAGCTGCTGGGAGTTTCTTCAGTTCAAATAGTTCCTGAAGAAGCTGGCAAAAAAATAAACCGTCAGAAAACCGCGCAGCACAACCATGAAAACCTACTTCTGGCTTTTAAAGGCCCAGCACGATGTAACAGAGCATTTCATGGAAAGCCTCGTAATTGTCATACGGGTTTAAATTACGTACAAATGGCAGCAATCTGGCAGAGGCCCCCAAAACATATATATATATATATCTGCCTCTCGCACGGATAGATAAATGCCGGACTACATCTGTGTCCTGTGTTTACAAAACAGATCTCGAGGGGCCAATGCGTTGTGCTATGAAAGCCAGGAGAGAGGCTTATCCTTCCCATCGAGGAAAAAAAGTGGCTTTGTAACCATGAAAAAGTAATTCTTGTGTTTTTTTAGGTGACCAAGCTAAGTGGGTTGTAATTTTCTAAAATAAAAGGCATACATTATTGAATAGGATCTGCCGAATAGTAACTCACCTACTCGCTTACACATTACTAATCTATAATTAATGGAAAGTGATTTTTTCATGGTGTATGTATGTGTATGCGTGTACATGAATAGTGGGGAGTGGTAGTGTAGCGGCTAGCGCGCTGCGCTACGAACCTGGCGACCCGGGTTCGATTCCCGCTCACGGCCAACACCAGTGACGATTATCTGAACCGGTCCTGGGCCTCCCCTAGGTCTACTCAACCTCAAATGAGTACCTGGTGCGATGTGTAAACATTGTCACTAGGGAGACAAAGGCGGTCAGGCGTGGTGTTGGCCACCCACCCCCTCGTGTGCCGTGCTGGCTTTATAGGTACTCGCTAACAGCACTTGCCCTTACAGTCTGTTAAGGCTATACGGGGAATCTTTGTATATGAACATACATTTTTAGCCACAGCTTTGGTGCACATTAGAATGCTGGGTTTTTGTTTTAATCATTACGTCAATAGCAAGTGTAATATGCGTGTTGCCTACACGCGCTAATGGTAACACTCTCGGTCGCCGTTGCTGAAATATTAATTATTTGAACATGTCCCGTGTGTGTGTGTGTATGGGGAGCGGAAGTGCAGCGGTTAGCGCACTGCTCTACGAACCCAGTCACCCGGGTTCGATTCCAATTCATGGCCAACACCAGTGACGATTATCTGATCCAGTCCTGGGCCTTCCCTAGGTCGACACAGCCTCAAATGAGTATCTTGAGCGGTGTAGGTGCTCGCTCACAGCACTTTCCACAAAAGTCTTATCAGGCTATACAGGGGATCTTTGTCTTGTGTGGGTGTGTGTACGTCAACCCTGCCCTCTCTTCCCCATGGGGGAACAGTGGCCGTGGATACGAGCATCAGAATGGCTGCTGGCCACAGATAAGGAGAATCAGGATGAGAACAAATATTCTAAGAAAAAACACAAATCAAGCATTCTCATTATTCGGCAAGAGCAAGCACCTCCTGTTGGCTCCCTTTAATGCTCACGCAGTCCCTGGAGTTTAACTTGCTTGTGATAATCATCATTGGCCGTGGTCAATTCGCTGCTGTGCGAAGGCCTCCCCACTCTTGTCGCCATCTCTCACGGTTCTCGCGATGCCGCAATCCATTTGATTCCTGCGCGGAAGCCGCTGTGCAGGATCTCATTACTCCATCCCAGCGAGAATTCTAAATGGACTCTCCATCTCATGCATGAGATGACGCAGATCGCGGTACCTGTCCCGGATACAAATTTGGAAAAAGACTTAAAAAGTAAAAGAAATAAATCGACTTACCGCGTGCTCTTTCAACGCTGCCAGGATGCGGCGGTGGCCAGGATTGCTCAGGAGCTGCCGGAGTTTCTGGAGACGCGCTGCGAGCTCGCGAGCAACGACCTCTACCCCGACTGGGCCTCCTTCATCCAGGCCTTCCTCTGCCACGGTGAGACTCTCCCCATGACCCCCCCCGCCCCCTCTCCTACAATTCCATTCAAAACCATGATGCCCTTTCTCTCCTGAATTTCATCAACGCTTTTGTTACCCATAAAACACAATTGAGAAATGTCGAATGTTAAGGTTAACTAGCTACATACAATGGATTGGAACAATGGAAACACACAAGGTATTATAACAATAGGCAGACAATGTATTGGAACAATGGGCAGACACAATGTATTCGAACAATGGGCCTGTGCTGGAACACCACTCACCAGTCCAGTCCATTCAGTTTTCTTTGACAAATCACCCCCCGCCCCACCCCTAGTCACTCATCCCATTCACTCCACCCAGGAGGTGTGATCGAGGCTTGCCCGCCGGGCGACAGCCTCACCTGCCTGACGGTGGACCTGCTGCTGGAGCCGACGGGGGACGTGGCGGTGCAGGCGTGGGGCGACCAGCTCGGTGGGCGCCCCGCCACCCCGGCGCTGCGCTGCTGGGGCTCGTCGCTCCCGCAGAGCTCCGTGGAGCCGGGCGCCCTCCACGAGCTGGCGCGCCGCGTGGCGCAGGCGTGCTGCGGGCACGGCTTCGTCGGGCACCTGTCGGTCGACTTCGTCACCTTCATCGACCCCGAGAGCCTCCAGCAACAGGTGCGGCCCTCTTCCTCCGTCTCCCGCTTCTCTTGCGACGCGTCTCCTTCCTCCTCTGCCTCCTTCCCGTGTGTGTCTATGTCCCATCACGTTGGTTATTTATTTTGATCCACTACTCATGCTGTTCGTTACGCACGGTTGCGCTTTATTTTGCTGCGTGGTTGCGATTTACTTTGTTCAGTCGGAGTTAGCGGCTGAGGTCGTGACGGGTTTCTTGTTTCATTCCTGTTGCTCTGTGCCCCCCCGGTGCCGTTCCCTTTCCGCCGTAATGTGCACTGATGCCTATTTTATTGAGGGCGATATTGGCACGTAAAACAATGCTGTTTGTTAGTTGCATTTGGAATTTTGGGCCTTTGTTCTTATGCTCAGCAACTGTGATGTATCGTCAACTTATTTCGCACCATACGTAGCCAACTGTGCTAATCGGAGGTGATCAAAATAATAGTACAAAAACTATTGAGGACGATGAGAGATTGCAATGACTTGGGGAGGCCTTCATCCACTTCATCCAGCAGTGGACTGATCATGGCTTGATAATGATGGCGATGATGGTGAATCAACTGGTTGCAGGTTTGGGCGTTGGACCTGGACGTGGGTTACAGCGATCAGCTGGCCATGACGCGCCTCATGGAGTTCGTGACGGGCGGAGCGCTGGATTGGCGCGACAGCATCTTCTCTGTGCCGTCGGAGCCAACCCCGGAGTCCGGCGCAATGCCTCTACATGGGGACAGAGCCAAGAGGGTGACCGGCACTAGAATTAACAAAATACATTTTCAGTCACTCGTTAGTGTTTGCAATGCTCAGTCTCAAGTTGTCAACATGGGCCATTGTGTTAAATTGCGTGCGTCAAGTAATCCAGCGTGAGCCCACTAAGAGTTGATGATGATGTTGACAATGATGTTGATGATGATGTTGATGAGGATGCGAATGATGATGAGAATGATGATTATCAGGATATTGATGATGTTAATGAGAATGATTGTGATGTTGATGAGGATATTGATGATAATACTTATTATGATGTTGATGAGGATATTGATGATGTTGATAATAATGATTATGATGACGATGCAGATGTTAATGATGATAATAATGTTGACAGTGGTAATCTATCTATTTATGTTGAAGCAGTTCAAAAGAAATTAGTTTTAAATCTATATTTAAAAGTGCATAGCTCGTGGCTTCCTAATATCGGAAGCAAGAGCGTTCCAGACGGCCGCAGAAGCGCATCTGAAAGCGCGCAATGCAGTGACAATGGTCTTTGTTTGATGAGGATGTTCATAATGTTGGAAATAATGATTATGATGATGGGAACGTTAATGATGATGATAATGATGTTGACAACGACGACGACGATGATAACCTCGACGTTGATTATGACGTGCGTGCAGTCCCGTCCAGCGAGCAGACGCTACGCAGTGACGAGCACCCAGCTGGCGCACTCAAACCTGGCGCTGCTGCACTACAGCGTCTTCTTCAAGATGTGCCGTGCGCACGGCATCGGCTTCGACGTCAAGGTGGCCTTCGCTTTGCCGAGTTCCCTCTCCTGTTGTTCGTGAGGGATAAGTTCCGGAGATGCTCCTGGCCTTGCAGTCAGGTTTTTTCTTTTTTTTTAACCGCCCACGACAAATGCGTAGCTCATCATCATTGCTCTCCAAAGTGAAATCATTCTGATCAGAACTGGCTCCTACTCCACGCTGTGTGACAGATGAGTGATATGCAGACAGATGCATCTTCTTGTACAGCATTCCCTCGTTTATTCACGAGGGACACTTTCCGGAGATGCTCGTGAATGTCAAATTTGGCGGATGATGAACTTATTAAATACGTGAACATTAATCATAACACAAAAACGAAAAATTCGCAATCAAAATTAACATGAAATATTATAAATATGTAATGGGCTCGAATTAGGCGCACTCGCAACTGCTTGGAAGGCAACACTATTTATTGTTAACACAAGGCAACACTTAACATAGGGTGGAAGTTTTCATGACTGCAAGGATCCATACTCTTTGGTTCTTTCAGTAAAGTCCTCACGCCCCCCCTCTGCCTCCTCTGACTGATATATAACCTCTTACTTTGCAGCAGCTCTCTTGACCATGTCAGCAATTGTTTCTTGCTGTGGTTGTCCCAGCTGATGACGGGCGCTTGCGTTGCGCCCGAAACGCCGTGATTTAATACATTTATTTTAATTTAATTAATTTTATTGTTTCACCTACGTGACTTTACCGAAAGAACCAAAGAGTACTTAACGTAGGGTGGTGACCACCGACCTATTCTCGCTAACACACACCATCACTCGCTACAACTAGCGTGACCAAGCCAGGAGGGCTGCTGGACAGAGGTCGCAAACGGGTTTTGATTCCTTACCCGTACCCGGCCGCACCAGGGTCGCAAACGGGTACCCGTACCCATACCCGACCGGGTACAGGTAGCCGGGTATCGGGTAGGGTACGGGTATCGTGTACCCGGTTGCGACCTCTGCTGCTGGCCTCTCCACGCTGACTTGAGGCTTGACTCTTCTTCACGAGGCGTCTTCTTCCTTGACACGAGCAGCCTCGAACCCGGGGCGGAGGCCGCTTATATGCGCCTCGGCGTGTCCGGGCCACACCCCGGCCACGCCCACCTTCGAGAACTCTCCTGTCCACGTGGCCTCCAAGGTGCCCCCAGTGCCCCCACCTTGATCCGGTCACGTGTCCAGCCGGGTTCACTCAGAGTGCCACGGCCTCACACAACCCCTGCGGCCCTGACGCACGACCGCCAGATCTCCCGAACCGGCCGTGACGTCATTCCCGCATCCAGACGTGATGACGTCATGTGTGTGTGTGGATCCGCGTGTTAGTGACGCTCCCCCGCGTAGTGACGTCACGCGAGTGTGTGTGTGTGTGTCCACATGGTAGTGACGATACAAATATTAAAGTATCTTAACACTTTATCTCTCATCACTTTCTTTCTCCCCCTCTCTCTCTCGATGCAGTCGTATAGAGTTCCAGAAGTGTTTCGCGGATAGCAGGTTCGTGAATAATAAGGGAATACTACAGAGCCAACTCTCGAATGTCCGGAGTAATGGGGGAGTGGGGGTGGGTGGCCCACCAGTTGAAACAAAACAAATAAATGAGCCTATTAATAAAAACAACACATCGTTTACCTACGGAAGACGTAATAGGGAGAGAGGGAAGAGGTAAGGAAAGCAGAGCATGACATCTATTGTGAAATCTTTCATTTAAAAAAGGGGGAAGGGGGTTACATAAAGCAAAGCATTAAAAAAAACGAAATGATGAACGAAGCAAAGTGCCGACTACATCGAGCATCTTCTTGTTTCCTCTAAAAAAAACCGTAGTAGGATGTGTTGTCTGTGTAGAGGTGATACGCGCTGGGATTAGGGATCGTATGCCAGCGCGTAATGATTGGCTGTGGGCCCGTGACGCGCTGAGAGGGAGTGATTGGGTGGCAGCGCGGTGTGATTGGTAGGAGTGTTAACACGCGCTGGGAAAACGGATCGTAGAGAGAGTGCGTCGTGATTGGTTCACTAGGGAACGATGCTCACGTCGACGTCCGGATCAGCTCCGTCTCTCGTGAGCAGGGGCTATAAAAGGGGATGCACACAGGCGTAAGGGCAGTATGTAACCAGCGAAGAATGAAGACGGGGATGAAGACCTAGGGCCCTGCGGTACCTAGTCCCGCTGTCCTAACGGGACCGGGACTCTGTGTAACCCAGAGGCGAGTGTAGTGTGTGTAGCCAGAGGCATAGAGTCTACACGAGCCGAATGTATTGTGTGTAGCCAGAGGCATAGGGTCTACACGAGTCAAGTGTATTGTGTGTAGCCAGAGGCATAGGGTCTACACGAGTCAAGTGTATTGTGTGTAGCCAGAGGCATAGGGTCTACACGAGTCAAGTGTATTGGGTGTAGTCAGAACCATAGAGTCTACACGAGTTAAGTGGAGTGTGTAGTCGGAAGAAAGGAGACCACACGTTGTATTGTGAACGTAAGGATTTAATAAAAGTGTGTTACCCGTCAAGAAGTTCCTGCCGTCAATTCCAATACTTCATCTGTATTGCTTCACATCGTATTGGCCATCAGTGATACAGTACGCCTGATGGTTTGGATCTCGCCACATTAACAATAATAACCACCATGGAATTTATCCAGTTTCTCTCTATTTGCTGTGTTATTTTTTAAGAGTGTATGATTGTAATTCTCAAATGGCATTTGGTATGTGGGGGGCATATTTTCTATGATTGAGAATGCTGCGGCGTTGCTAGGAATGCCTTCCACGTGTCAATGCTTCTTTGCCTGCTTCTCAGGAGGGATTGCTGCCCGCAAACTCACTCTTGAATTTCTACATCTCAACTGCAGATTTTTCCGCAATTAAAATATTTATTTTGTAAAGGTTTGTCCTCCGATGTTTGACCCAGCCTCTGGCGCCCTTATTTTGTGCATTTTCCCCTTAAGCCACCCAGCCTCATTCCATTTCCATTACTCAAATACAAATACATCAATTTGAAAAATAAGTCAAATAAGTCAATGAATAATAACATTCCTTTTTGATGCCGTGTGTGTGTGTGCGCTTGCATGCTGGCGTGCTCGCACGTGACATCAGGAGCGGCAGGGAACCGTCTTCACCCTCATCCACGGGCAGCGACGTGAGCGGCTCGGGATGATGTGAGTGCGCCCTCAACCAGCCCATCCGTAATCTTTTGTTTGATACATTTTGTGCGTCGGTCTGCGTGGAGCAATTGCATTCATTTCCATCCAAATGGCGCGCGCACTTTGCATCATCAGCCGCGCTCTTGTGCGCGTCCCTTTCGCAGGGTGATCATGGACGATCTCCAGGTTGCGCTGATGACTTTTGCTCAAAACCTCGCACTCATCCACCAGCAGATCTCCTCCGCCGATATGCAAGGGGAGACGAATTTTAAGGTCGGTCTCGCAATGCGATGAGAAAATATATCTCAAGCTCTCCGCTGTTTCCCTACTTCTGTAGAAAAAAACACGAAGCAATTTGTGCAAGTGCAGTAGCATAATATGAAATGGAATGCATTTGATGACATTTCTTTTGAGAACTTTTTTTTCCTTTTGAGACAGTTTTAAAGTAATTGACTTGCTAGGCAGGATAGTTGCCTTCTACCTGTTGCCTGTCTCCTGCTTCCAACCTCTCTTTGGATTGACGTGGATGCGCACTGGTAAAGTTTCGGCTACCCAACCCGAATTTTCCCTGTTCATCCCGTCTGCCTCCACATGGCTGTGTTTGATGTTTTTCACTCCACCTCCTTTTTTGTTCTGCCCCTTGCAATTTGCTTTACTCCCACACCACCTCCTCACCCAGATATCTTCCCTATATTTTCCATCCTCCAAACCGTCGCCTCCTATCTCTGTCCCCGGCCTCATCTCCCCACAACCCTCCCCTCTCCCGCCTTAATCCCACCATCCTGGGACTGCTCTGGGACTAGTTGGTGCTGCCCGGGCCATTCCAGCAGCTGGGCTCCAGTTGCTTCTGGCTTATGTTACTCCCTTTCCTCTCTCCCATGTTTCCCAACCCTACCTACCCAACCCCTGCCACTGCCATCTTTCCGAATGTAGTCCCTCACTTTAGTGAAGCATTTTGAGATGTTGTGGCATTTAGATGCGATAGAAATTGAAATGTTTTATTTTCGTACTTGATATATTCCATGATATAATGAATGTAAGTCGTCTCTGGGTATGCCCTCATATGGCATATAATGTGTGTGTAGTGCTCAAATTATGTTCCCGCATAACAAATGCGAGTCACTTTCTATAAGTGCGTGCACTTACCAGTTGAAAGTTTAATAAGTGTATTTTGTGGCATCATGCCTAAATGGACTGTTCAGGAAAGCTCTATCTGTGCTCTGGCTGCAGGAAGCTGTGCAGGAAATTGAGTCAATTCTGGGCATCACGGTGCAGAACTGGGACAGAGAGGAAAAGGAGCGGGAAAGTGGTGGCCAGCTTGCTGACCACACGAAGGCCACCACCACCGCCAATGCCACCGCTGCTGTCACAGAGGCCCTGTGAGCCATCGGTTGAGGATGCGAAGGCGGACAGAGAGGGAAATGCTTTGTCAAGAAAAGCATGCCCTCAGCTGGCTAAGCGCTGACCTCCTATGAGCAAAGGCCTAATGAAAGATGGGGCAATGGGCAGCGACGTATGTGGAAAGGGATTATAGTGAAATACTTGTACTGCGCCGCCACTCGCTATTTAATCCCAAGTGCCAGAGGGGTTTGTTTAGCTCCATGATTGTGCATTGACGATTTGGCCATTTATCTACAGTATGTGCCAAATGTGTATGTGTCTGATTTTTACAAATGGTGAATGTTTCTTTTTCAAGTATTTTTAATTACATTTAGAAATAGGAATTATGGTTTTAAAAATCTGCTAAACAACATGTCACGTCGTTTATAGAGTAGCCGCTATACTTTATTACTTTTTAGTAGTCGTCAGGCTTTTCTACATGGTAATTTCACTGTAGGATCATTCATCATTATTTGTGAGTTGTTTTCAATGTAGTACAGGAAGCTTTACATTTCATAAGCAGCTGCACTGTTACACAATAATACTCACGTGTAAGCACTGTAGCCACCAACGCATGTGTTTGTAGTGTATAATAGCGCAATGGGGGAGCAGTGGCACAATGATTAACACAATGCAATGTAAATCCGTAAACCCAGAGTTTGACTCCTTGACTAACATCAGTGGCAAGCTATTACTGAAGCAGTCTTGACCGCCCCCTTCATCAACCTGCACTGATCAGCTTGGGAAGAATTGATTATCAAACAACCCCATGTGAGGAAGCCTTGATCCAGCAGTGGATTGACAGAGGGCTGAATTATAGTATTGTTGTGATACGTCGTATTTTCACGTTGATAAAACAAGTATATGTTCCCAAAAACTCGTAAGTTTGTTGGTTTGTAGTATGCGAGTGAACGTTGCCGGATTGTGGTATTGTCTGCTGTAAGTGGCGATAGAATGTGTAACAACAACAAAATGTGTTCCTGGGTAGTAAGTGTTATTTTCTAATTGCGTATGCCTCAAAAGTACAGAAAATAGCTATTATTCCCAACAAACTTTGCTTTTGTGACCAGAACACAAAAGCAAAGTTAATCATCCACGCCATTAATAACACTGTGTAACAACATTTTTTTTGTTACTGAGTAGTGTTATTTCCTAATTGCTTATGCCTCAAAAGTATAGAAAATGTCTATTATTCCCCACAAACTTTGCTTTTGTGACCAGGACAGTGATATTTTAAAATGTACCTATTTTTAATGAGAAAACGTGTGCATTTGTGTCATTCCTTCACATAAAGTCCTGGTCACAAAAGCAACGTATGTGGGGAATAATAGCCATTTTCTATACTTTTTAGACATAAGCAATTAAAAAAATAACACTTACTACCCAGGAACAAAAATCGTGTTACATAGTGTTTAATCAAAAGATGGAGATGGATAATGTGTTTCTTGTCATATGTCGTATAGCAATGTCATAAAGCATCAGTCGCTGACATGTCTCTGCAATGGGTGTCAAAGCTAAATAAAACCAACTCGGTGATCACACAGTGTCCGCGCAAATCTTCTTATAAGTGTAATTTGCTGAAACAAAAAAATGTGCGTCACCTGCTTTGAAAACACACAGGCCTTAGCAGGGCCCGATGCGCGTCTCGGTGAATGTTCCTTTCTCGTCCAATTTTCGGCAAAAGACAATCTCATGTCTCCATCACCAGCAACTGGAAAATCTCCAAGGTGATGCGATATGTTTCAGCAACCCTGTAAGCGTACCCTTCGTCAACGTGGGAGCCATACAAAACCTCATGGGAGGGGCACAACACGGGTCAATATTAACCTTTAACTAAATGTTAAATGCTAAAACAGAATGACCAACGATCTGCTTTTGTTTGTCATGCATTCTGCTCTAGTTCTCAACCCCAGATTTAAAGATTGCATCATTATTTTCTAGTTTAACTTAGAGAATTTAGAAGGTGGCAGAACCTTCAACAGGCACGCGTGTGGGTGTGTGTGTGGGGTCTCAGCCACACTCCATCCTCCCCAACGCTACAAAGCCCCGTGTTTATGTCAAGGTGTCAATCAGGCCCTATGTCGTGATGTGTAAGCTCTCCCCTGTGTGTAAAAGCCTCCAAAACCGAAATATGAAACACACCCAATGGTGCAATCTATAGATTTTGTAGATACAGTAATACACAGTATTTGAGAGTGAATATTCCGCGGGGACGTGTCAGTGTGTACAGATAGAGGGGCCGTACCGTCTAAGTGGACGTTTGGCTGAAGTGCTCATTGGAGAGATGCTCAGCCTTCAAATTGTGCTCCGTGCTCCATTGGCCACAGATCCCCATGGAAAATGATGCAATAGCTCCCCTTCGATAACGCCGTCAAATGTACTGCTCAACCCTCCTCATAACCCTCATCATTAGATTACCAATAGCTGTGTGTTACTTGATGTCACCGAGCTCCCCACGCCTCGTGATATTTAAACCGACCTTAGGCCCTCCCTTCGCCAACATGCATTGACTAGCGTGGTAAAGTATGGTCAAACAATAGCCCATGACTGACACGGTGTTTGGAGGCCTTCATCCAGCAGTGGATCGACAAAGAGCTGTTGATTAAATTATGCTTCTGTGTTGTTTGTATTGAACTCTCACCCTGCCACTCTTCCTCGGGTTTGCGGTGTTAATTCCTTAGTTTGTACCTATGAACCTCAGGTATGCCCACTAACCATCACCAGCCATGATTCATCGCCAAGTCGTTGTCATCTCCCACGATCTTGCAACGATCTGTCTAACACCTGCTCACGAGCTGATTTTGTCGCTCCATCTCTTCGACGTGCGCTCCCTCCGACATGTTTCCTTCTCCAGTCTGAACCACAGGCCATCATCCATCCACCCTTCTATCGGTGTGCTGCCGTGTCCAAAGCCCACTTGTGTTCAATGTCATGTCCCTGACTTGTGGTTATGTTCTCTAATCCACGTGTACCTCTTCCTGTCTCGGTGTTACTCCAAGCATGCACTTCTCCCAGTGGCATAGCTGCATTGTCAAGTCTTCTTGGTTCTTTCGGTGAAGTCACGTAGAAGGGAAATAATAAAAATACTAAAATTCTCACGACGTTTCGGCCACAACGCAAGCAACCGTCATCAGGTGAAGAACAGGTCTGTCGGAAAGACGGCGTTTGCAACATTACCAAAACAGATGCATTAAGACGCTGTCTTTCCGACAGACCTGTTCTTCACCTGAAGACGGCTGCTTGCGTTGTGGCCGAAATGTCGTGAGAATTTTATTATGTTTTATTTTTATTATTTTATTATTTCCATTCTACGTGACTTTACCGAAAGAACCAAGAAGATGAATCCCTGCAGTCACGAAAGCTTTAAATCGAAATTTCATTATCAAGGTCAGGTGGGGCCCCAAATATTTGATGTGTCAAGGGGGCCCCAACTCTGAGCTTTGGTCATCAGCGGGAGCCAAGGCACTCCCTGCTCCCACCCTCTGATACATACCACATGGCAAATGATAAACTGTTACACTGACTTTAAACGTTCTTCTTTTGGTCATATTGGGATGTTGCTTTTCATGATGTTCAGTTTTGTTTTATTGGAACTCCAACCGGCTCAACTTTAATCCGGGTTCACCTTAAGTTGTGTAAGTACAATACATTGGGAAGTAAAACACATTTTTATATGTAGGTACATCACTTTTAACATCCGTATGATGCTGCATCTGTTTTGGTCATATTGCACTCATTGGATGCACTTTCTGAGGATATTCACTGGACGTGCCTTCACTTTTATAGATTGAAATGAAGCCACTGATATAGCAATTCAGACTTAAGCAGTACTGTATCTGTACAAAAACACCATGAACACATCAATACCACTGTCTTAAAAGTATTTTTTTTTATCAATGTCTATTTTTTTAGATTGCCTTTTAATTAGGATGCTTTTATCACGTGTTTATTATGCATTCTATTATAGTTGTTCATTTTCATTTTTTATGTATTATTCTTATTGTTGTTTACATTGGGTCAGTCCCTTCATTTCGTCCCGTAAAGCACTTTGTATATAATTATTTGCACCAATTGTGCTGTATAAATAAAGTTTGATTTGATTATATTGTTACGTATAAGGAAGTTGTCTTTGACGAATGTGTTTGTGACGTGTGCTTGGGCCACCAGTGCCGGCGCAGTATCACCACATTAATTGTTTACTTCTACATATATTGTAACGCTGCCAAGTCCACACATTACTTAACCACTTTAAAGAGAAACTGAACTTTTAGCGCCTCTTTGGCATAGCTTGTGTTGCACCCGAAACGTTGTGATTGAATTTAGTTGTTTTCACTTTTTTATTTAAATTTTTTTTTCACCGAGTGACTTTACCGAAAGAATCAAAGAGTCTTCTTGGTTCTTTCGGTAAAGTCACGTAGAAGGAAAGTAATAAAATAATAAAAATAAAACATAATAAAATAATTCTCACGACGTTTCGGCCACAACGCAAGTAGCCGTCCTCAGGTGAAAACCAGGTCTGTCGAGGCGACCTGAGGACGGCTACTTGCGTTGTGGCCGAAACGTCGTTAGCATTATTTTATAATGTTTTATTTTTATTATTTTATTACTTCCCTTCTACGTGACTTTACCGAAAGAACCAAGAAGATGAATCCCTGCAGTCACCAAAGCTTTAAATCTAAATTTTATTATGTTTTATTTTTATTATTTTATTACTTCCCTTCTACGTGACTTTACCGAAAGAACCAAGAAGATGAATCCCTGCAGTCACCAAAGCTTTAAATCTAAATTTTATTATGTTTTATTTTTATTATTTTATTACTTCCCTTCTACGTGACTTTACCGAAAGAACCAAGAAGATGAATCCCTGCAGTCACGAAAGCTTTAAATCGAAATTTTATAATGTTTTATTTTTATTATTTTATTACTTCCCTTCTACGTGACTTTACCGAAAGAACCAAGAAGATGAATCCCTGCAGTCACCAAAGCTTCTAATCTATAAATAGCCAGAGCCGTCAGCCAATCAGGCACCGACTTAGCGCGAGGCTCTTTGTAAACCACGCCCTTTTATGCTAATGACAAACCCGATCAACCAATGGGCTGCCGAAGCTGAGATCCCGCCCTTTTTTAGGTCACGCCCATTACGTTTCTTCGGTTCCGCGGCGTGTTGCGTACGTACAGTGACCTCACGGCGAGGTTTGTGCAGTTTTATCTTCCCGCAAGCGACGTTAAAGATCTTCGTGGACACTAAAGTGGTGCTTGTGAACCTTTGTCGTTATTCTGCCGTTGTCGTTCGGCGAGCGGCATTTAAATAGGTCGCCGGGGTCAATGCTGCTGCTCGCTGCGGTGCGGCTCGCTGTGCTTGCGCGATGGGGAGCGCTGAACGAGTCGTATTTGTTGACATTGTTTAAGGGACCGTCCATAAATGACGTCACGTGATTTTGGACGATTTTTTACCCCCCCTCGTCACACCCCCCCCCCCTCAAATATGACGTCACAAAGCTTTGCCCCCCCCCCCCCAAAACCATACTGTTTCCATTTTGAAAATAAACATGCTTCAAATCGCTTTAAACTATTGTTATTGTAGTGCGTATTTAATGTGGCGCTGCACTCTGATGTTGTAGGATAAAACATTAAAAAGTCTATTTAATTAAGTAGAACGTGCTGTCTATATTTAAAGTTGCGCATTTTGATGTGACGTCACATTTCTCACCCCCCCCCCCTCGTCACACATCGTCACAAATGTCTGACCCCCCCCTCCCCCTAGGTGCGTGACGTCATTTATGGACGGCCCCTAAGTCAAAAAAAAGTTGCGGTTTGTGAAGGTGGGCCCGGCCTCTCACCCCCTGGGGGGCGCCGATAACATTCGTTGCGCTTTGTGGCAATTCAACAGCGGTCTGACTTGGTAACCGTCATAGGAATGTGGAATTTCCACCATTAGGTCAGGGGTCGGCCACCAGAAATTAGCAGCCGCTCAAGCGGTCACCCTCGATGTTGTATTTTACTGTGTCCCGGCTTTACATACCCGCGTTCTTTTCCCGGCTACGGATAATATCTGTGGCGAGTGATATTTGAACCCGTCATGAAGCCCTCCGCATTCACTTAGTCGCACTGACCAGCGTGGTGAAGTATGGTCAAACAAACCCCCCGTGACTGATACGGCGTGGGGAGACCATCTAGCAGAGGGTTGACCACAGGCTGTACACACAAATTATATTTCATTGTCATGCACATTCATGAATGAACCGCTTTAACCACACCAACACGTTTTAACCTGACCCCCAGAATGTATGAGAATTTTGATGTGGATTTTAGATTGTTTCTCAAATGAATCCAGCTCACACTGTGCAGATGCCCATCAGTCGCCTATGATCAAATGTCAGTACCCTCAATGTATCTGACCTTATCGGATCTCAGAAAGCAAATGGGGTTGAGAGATGAGAAAAACTGTGGAGGGGAAACTGGGAATTATAGGTGTTTGCATGAGCTGCCAAAATAGCCAAGAACCAGCAGTATAACAATGAGTTATTGGATCAATCTGTGCAGATATGTGAGCGTGAACCCCTTGTATTGGTTGTGTTTTTCGGGTTCTACTTCATGCTAGATGAAGCCAAATGCTGGTGAAGAGAATTGGCCGAGCATTCCAATGCAGGATCCTGCTGAGGAAAGTATTGAGACCCAGGCATTTCCTGGGTAAATAAAGGGCATTCATGGAGCAGTGGTGAACTGCTATGTGTGCTGCACTGTAAACCTAATCTGATTTGAATGTCAGCCATGGTTTACATCTGTGCTGAGTAATATCAAGATTGATTCTGGTCCTCGCCCAAGTAACCAAACCTGCACTGACCATCGTGGCGAAATATGGTCAAATAACCCCGATAACTGACAGAAAACAGGTCTTCAGCGCAGTCAGCTGATAATTGAATGTAAATTACATACATTATTTCAGTGGTACACATAATTTTTTAAAGAAAATCTGAGATAGTTACGTGTGGCCTTCTGGTACAGTTGACATGCATTGATCCAATGTATATGACCCTCTGTCATTCGCAGGGCTATCTGTGAGTTAGGATGAAGTTGCTGCCCAGGAGCTGGTCAACAAGCAAGCGTAGACCCCGGGCTTCCCAAGTGCTCACAGCTCATCTCCTGCAGCGAAACCTCCCACATTGGACCTCCTATTTTGTCAAGGTGTGTTAGCTCAGACCTTCCAGCGGTTATGCTAGATCATCATCATAAGTGATATTCTCTCAACTGGTGGATGAAGGCCTCTCTCCATGCCCAGTCTTGTGACGCAACAATCTCTCTAATTCATGCACATAAGCTGATTCAAAGCTCCATCTTCACGTGTTTGGACGTGTCCTTCGACTGCCAGTTATTCTCAATCACCGGCCATTGTCCTAGCAACGTGTCCTGCTCAATCCCAGTTACTTCCTTAACAGTGAATATGATATCTTAACTTGCGTACGTTCCCAAATCCATGTTTCTTATCGTGTCTGTGTAATTCCAAGCAAGGACCTCATCGTGCTTCTATGTACACTTCTTAGCCTCTGTTCCATTTTCTTTGCCAGTGTCCGTTTTTCTGATCAATATGTTATAGCAGATCATGTGCATATATTTAAACACATTTAAACTTTAATCATTCAGCACATTGGTTTGTTCCTTTTCATGATTAAATACAGTTTTACAAAAGCACTCCAACCCGCTCTCATCTGTTGTGGTTATCACAACCTCAAATTAGCTCCACGCACTTCTGATTAGTACTGTTGACTACGTACAGTGAGAAATATGTTCAACATACGTAAGTACATACATTGTATTGTTTGTATTTGATTCTGATCTGCCTTCAGTAATTGACCTAAATATATGTATTCTGGTTTGTTTTCCACTTGTGCCCCTCCAATATATTATTGTTTAGGAAAATTGGTTTACATGACTTTTGTTTTACTGATGTTCAGTGCAACTTTGTAGCATTCTTTTCCTTGGGTCTTCAATCAATTTTTAAAAATAATTTCCATTTTTTTGTTGTCATAATGAAATATGACATCAGATGAGATGGTTATTATTTTATATTATACGTTTATTCCTTTATCTGTCAGATCAAATTTCTGAGCAGAACGTGTAATGTTGCTGACATTAACTTTGGCAAGAATGTATCTACTTGCTTGATGCTTATTTGAATGTTTATTCAGTTGATTCGGGCACATCTCAATGAAGCTAGTCTACCCTTGTAAATGAATTTTTGTTATCATTTGTCGCCTCATCAATTATATATAAAATCTTCATGCAGATCATTGGGAACAGAATAAAATACAATTCAGAAGCTAACCAAGCAAGTGAGCAAACCAATTTTTTTTAAGTTTAGATTTTTCTCGACCAATGACCGCATACAAACGTATCAATCAGGCTATGAAAAAGACAAATTAAGCTCACGTACCATTATGAATAGCCTTTGTAGACTATGAAAAGGCATTTCACTTTGTGGACATTGATTAAGATGGGTGAGCTCTTCTACTTTGAAGTTGGACTGTGGAATTGTGGCTTGATGTTTCTTGGAGGAGCGGAGCCTGCATGTCAGGTCAGCGTGATTCTTCGTTGTCACGCTGTGCAATGAGAGATGGTCACTCGTGGCCTCTTTGTCATTTCAGTACAGCGATGTGCAGAACGATCAGTTTTCGCTGTCTCATTTCAACTGGGGAGTGGATGGAGCAAACTATCATGTGCTGAGGACCGGGTGCTTCCCCTTCATCAAGTACCACTGCTCGCGGAGACCCTGGGAGGACTTGACGCTTGAAAACCGCATCTTCACAGCTCTCAAACTCATCAACCTAGGTTCGATGATGACAATTTATATGATTACTCTAAAAATAAATATTTTAAAACAATGCACGGTCATTATCGTCATCGACCATGATGTTGATACCACACATTCTGAGTTGAACAGCGATCTCAGAATGCATAATATGTTTTTTTTTTATTGGTTTTGTGGGTCAGAATTAATATCCAAACACCATGCTTATCTTCAATGAAACAAATTGGAGGATGAGGGTCGTGGTTGTGAACTGAACATTTACCCAAATTAAGATCCACCAAAAAATGTATTTGAGTAGAAATAAAGTAGTGAACAAGTCACATTCGTCAGTAACACTGCCCTGTAAGAGAACTAATGATGCAATCGGCCGACTTTTTAGATCCTTGGAGGTTTTGATCAAGGGCCGAACACGTGAGCCTGTTATATATTATCCTGTTATAAGGCCGTGTTAATGATGAATGTGGTGAGTTTATTTGATTTCTGATGACGCTCTACTGCCAATACAGTCCTTTTGTGTTTTTTTGTTTTGTTTAATTAAGGTGAGTTTTTTGGCTCGTCATGGAAAACAAGCATCTAGTGAAGTCAGGTGCGCAGCAATCGAGTAAATGGTTGCAAGCAGACAAAAAAAGTACCGCTGTGTTCGGAAGTCGCAAAAGTGGTTGTCCTATGGAAAGACTAACCACTATCAAAGGAACGTGACATTTCTACCACATGTGCAATTGGGTGGGAAACCACTTCAACTTTTTTTTTTCATGAGAAAACCCCACCGTGTTTTTGAATGTCGTGATCCTCACAAGGCCCTGCAGAAATATCCGTCTATCCCAGGGTAGAATAGAAGATGTCGATATCGTGGCATTACACTCGGTAAATGTGAATTCCCTCGGGTGACGTACAAACGGAGTAGCGCGGCGTGGATTTGTGGTAGCAGGTGGTGGATGTGGCCTCATGAGGCCAATGTGGCTTTTGAAAGAATGATGATCATGACCGGCGATAGGAGGTAAACTTACTGCCGTGATCCAGTAGGACACAGTTGAAAGGTTAATTGTTAAGGTCTAGTGCCCTGTGTTCGGTAGCTCTTCCGATCAATGGGCGTCGGCCACTCGACCTGATTTACAGCTGCGGAATCGATGTTGTTAAATAGTTAAAGTAGGTGACAATGCAAGAAACTGCAGTAATTCTTGACCGTCCTTAATAGCCGACGGAAAACCCGATACTGCAAACTGCGCAGGACTTCAATTGTGCGGTCTCGGAGATTGTCGCGAGTATCGTGTACCACGTTAAAAAAAAAAACACTTTGCCCTTAATTTAGTTTAGCAGGCAATTGTGCTTTACCCCACCTTAATTATTAACAAACTGTCACATCATCAGCCACGATCAGTCCACTGTTGGATGGAGGCATGCTCAAGCCGTCACGATGCAATAATTCACCTAGTACCTGCCATATACTGTGTATTTAATATTTAATTGGATTGTAATGATGCATTAAGTCATCATTTAACATTGATTGTTATGTTCAGGGTGGTTCAGGGTGCATGTGTCAAATCGTGAGTGTGAGGCTCGATTATTGTTCATAAAAAATTACATGCAAATTCTATTCTCATGTTACCTTTAAGCTAAGGAAGTGAACGAAAACATAAACGAGACAGATGTAAATGTGAAACAATATGTATGACATGGTAAGAACGATCGACTCTTGAATCGAATTGTGATCCAGAATCCTGACAAGTCAGTGGGAGTGAATCATTACACAATTTGCATTTAATGTGCTAACATTTCATAAAATGGCTATTTTCAAAGTGGAAAATACATTGTAGCATGTCCTTTCATAAATTTGCCTCCGCAATCCATGCAACTCTATTAGAATAATTTAAAGTCAGTGTCCTAATGATTTAATTTCGTTTGTTTTCCCCCCCCTAGGGATTCCGACGCTGGCGTACGGCATGGGCGCTTTGTTTTTGCCAAAGGTCACAGAGGTTGTGACCACGGAACAGGGCCCTGTCACCATCTACTTTCTCTACAAGGAGCAGGAGGGGGCCGTGAACTGAATTGAGGTGGCATGAGGGGTAACTGCAAAGTGGAGAAGCCACCCTGTCTATGCAAGGCAATCATTAATGCACCTGAGCACAGATGACTGGGAATGACTCTTAGGCCTTTGAACATGAAAGAGGATTGAACAGAGATCAGTTTTCATGAGGGCGGAGCTGTGGTCTGTGCCAATGCAAGCTGTTTGCACTTTTGACTCGATTCGTGCAGCGTATGTAGTCTTGCTGCCGACTGTCGTCACTTTGTAAAACAAACAACGCACGCGCGTGTTTCTTTTAACCCGAATTATCCCTTGGTGTAGTCTTCGTAAGATTTAACGGCAAAGTTTAATGGAACAATTAGGGGAGAAATAATAACCTCTTCAATGAATTTTGGATTCATTGTGAATTGCAATCCCTTTTCCACAATACAGAAAGCTCCTCTGCGGCATCGCGTAAAAAAACTTACCCTGGTTGCAGATCATTGTGGAGAAGAAAAAAAACCCAAGGCGGTAACAACATAATTGCTCACACTGCCCACCTTTGCTAATCAATCGTTGTCCCCTTTGATTAAAGCTCTTGTTGATGAAACAAACAATGGGGAGTGGTGACAGCTGCCGAGAGGTCAATTGGGCTGGAGCACGCGTCTGGAGGAGGAGATGATCGCTGGGGGAGCCACCCCTGGCCATCGCGAGCGGCGCTAACGACCTACCCGCCATCGATCGTGTTAATTTCTTCGCAGCGCGGGTGTTAATTGCGTCGTCGATTTCACGCCAGCCCCCACCGCCGTTGCGCTGTAATTTAGTGAAAGTGATTACTCGTGAACCCGGTGCCGGGCATCGATCCCTTTCCGCGACATCGTTTGGCCGCCCCTCTTCCCGGCTCTGGGAAGGCTTCATCAGTCCCAACCGGGACGCGCGATGGAGGTGATGGTGGTGAAAAGTGATCGCCGAAGGCCACTAATGAGACAACCCGGCATTGGCTGATTTAGGTGGCAATCGTTTGATTTATGCGGCGATCGTTTGGCTGTGGGGAGAGACAGATCATTGCCAATGAGGCTGGCTAACAGCAGTTTCTGGTTTTATTGGTTGAATTTATTTAATACTTGCTTGTACCTACAAAACAAGTGACATGTGCTTAAAAGTGATTTTTAAATGAAGCCAAAATCAGATACCAATTATTTTTGCGAGTCAGCAAGCAAAGGAATTGCCAAATACAACAAGACCGACACAGCTGACTATGTGGCGGCAATTCGGAACTCGAGTTGAAAAGTGCTCCAAGTTTGGAGCTGGATTGACAGGTGGATGTGATGTATGTGGATAAGTATTATTTTTTATTTTAGTTTTTATATTTTATTGTTTAATTCCCTATATTTTTTTATAGGGTGTTGTTTTTTCTTATTGTATTGTGAATTGGACTTCCAATTGTTCCCCAAGATTGACCCCCTGTTCAGGCCGCTGACAGCATATTTTGCTAGTTCTATTTATCAACACTAGTAATTGTTTCATGATATGACTAAATGTCAAATTGAAGGTTTCAGGCTCTAAATTTAAAATGTTTAAAAAAATGTGCAGGGCAGTGTGGATGAGGGTTGAAAAGATGTGCATTATTAATTGATTGCGAATATGGCATTTATTTTTTTGTATGTTAAATATTACATTCAAAACTCGAAACCGCTAACAGTCCAGGCTAAAGTGCAGTTTCACCGCTGATTCTGTCCCTTCGTTATATTGCACCCTATATTGAATTTCATGCCCGTGGAAAGTTATTACATCCACACTGTAAAACTCATAAGGTAATCGAGTTGTTAGGGGTGTAGTGGGGAGGGAAATTTGGTTGATGGAAAGTGTAATATAAAAATGACATGTCACAAAAGTGGCTCGTGAAAACAACCCAGCGTCTTCTTGTTTGAAATTTACAAGAAAGCATAATGGGTGCAAACGGACCTCCGGGGTACAGTGCTGATGGAACCATAATTACAAGCGCATTTTTTTTTCGTTCCATGTTTCCTAGTAAATAAATAAATGAGCCTCAAGAAAATGTCCGCAGAGCGAGCGGGAGCCTCATTGCTATGCGCAATTTGTCTCGTTTATGTGTTGCTTGCTGAAAATATGCTTGATTTAATTTACATAAGCGGTCGTAATTAAAGCGCCGTACGTGAACACGTTGCGTCCTCTTAGCTTTAATTGTACGCTGTTAATTGTTATTTGATTCATATTTTAAGACAATTTTTCTAGGGTTTGGTGCTTTTAATCAATTTATCATTTAAATACGGTACTGTAAAATACGTTTACCACAGTATTTAGTTTTATACGGTGTCCAATGGCAAATACGGAATCACGACGTGAGTGGCAAACATTGATACTGGGACATTATCAAGACTTGAACATAACATTTATGTTTTGAATATGATTAAAGTAAACACCTGACATTACCGATGTAATCTTTATTATTATTAATAGTACCATAATATTTATGTAGGAAAGTCTGACTGAGTTTCAATACTTTTTCAGCGAGGTCCAACATGGGATGTTTGATCAATTCTCTAATTGACAAATTTTTCTTTGTAAGGCATTGAATTTCATAGCAAAACACCCAAACACGTATTAGTAGGGGATGACAAAAATATCCACTAATGAGTTACGACCAAATCCCCCAGAATGTGCCCAACTCGGAAGCTGAGCAGGGTTGAGTCTGAATCGGGCTTGGGTGGGCAACCTCAAGTTGCAATAGGCTGCTGTGGTGCTGCGTGGTGGACAGCAGAGGGCAGTGAAGCAAAGTTCATTGTACTGCTCTCCGCTCTCTGCCTTCGCCAACCCCTGTTCTGACTAGCGTGGTGGAATATGGTCAAATAACCCACATGGCATCGGGAGGCCATCACCCAGCGGTGGGTTGACAAATGGCTGTAAATGTAAATAGGTCAACAAACCATCTCGGGCGCCTTAGGCACCTCTGCCTACAGGAATGGTATCACACATGATGTCTATTGAGATAGTCTAGCTTTAAGACCTAATGCGACTAAAAAACAAAATTTTTAATTATTAATTGTTGGTAATTTCAAACTTGTAGTTTGGGGTAAAGCACTGCCCACAAATGGTCTACTGGTATTAAGAAATGGCAGAACATGGATTGCAAACTAATTTACATCATCTAAACATTTACAATTACTGATAATTGCCAGGCATTTTATCATGCTCATGTTAAATTACTTCTCATAATGGACTCATTATGCTATTACTAATGACCACTTATTATAAATGAGTATATAATGTTTACAGATTAGACGTTCGCTTCCGAACAAACGTGCCGAAGCACATTTGTCCTTGTAGCGCCTGGAAAAGGTCCTTATTTAACTTTTTAATAATAGTGACGTTTTTAAGTGCACTGTGCTTAATTCTTACTGCAGTGGTATTTAATGCGGTACCATAACGAGATGCGGGGCCCTGAAGGGATTTCACAGATTCTAAACTCTTTTCCGTGACTTGTTTTCTAACGGTGGATTGATCTCGCTACCGAGCCAGTTTCCTTTGATTTGACAGTTAAATTCCCTTCTAGATTTGATGCTATCGTGACTGCAGGGATTAATACTCTTAGGTTTTTTTTCGGTAAAGTCACGTAGGTAAACAATGATAAAATATAATAATAAATCACGACGTTTCGGAGGCAACACAAGTCTCCGTCTTCAGGTGGGACTGTCACAGCTAAATTTAGCATCCGAAACGTGATTTATTATTATTATTATTTTACCGAAAAAACCCTAAGAGTATAGTTAAATTCCCACTATCCATTCAGCATTTTCTTATGGGCAATGTTGCTGTAAAAGCGGGCATGAAAGAGTACAATATCTCTTTCATTAGCTGGCCACTATGATGTGCCAAGTGTCGTATAACTGATCCTGAATTTGGAGATTACCATGTATAAAAGAGTCGTATATTTCGCAATACTGAGAAATTGTCTTCTCAGTTTTATTAGAGTTATTTTTTTATAAAAAAATTTGTAAAGTTATAAATACACTCCTGTTATCGCAACGTTTGGCAAGACTAGATTTCAGAAAAAAATCATACCACGTGTTCATTCAAAAAAAAATTATGACACCATGAAACGTCGTAGTTTATAACAAATACAAAAACACCCCATATACAATTCTATACGCTCCAACTACTTCAGGTTACTATATTTCTTTTATTTGTAATTTTACCCCCAGTAGATCGCAAAGCCTTGCACGGCAATTCCCCAGCGTCCCACAAAAATCACGTGACATCGGAAGAGGGAGCTCTCCGCTGTAATTATCTTTTTCCCCCCATCAATTCATTACGCATTTGTGTGGTCTCGGTTATTAATTAAGCACGCTGATTAACTTGAGTAAAGAAACGGCGTTGATTATCACCACCCGTCCCTGTGCGCATCGTGATTGGATGGCGGAGTGGTGGAGACGTGGGGAGGAGGAGTGATGCTTTTCCCCTATTGGGAATCCCTGTCATATTAAGCATATGCAGGCAGTGACAACGAAGGCCCGAAAGCAACGAAGGAGGGAGGGGAGGTGTAACCCAATTGAAGGCCGGCCAATTTGATCAGAAGGTTTCCAAAAACGTAAAGATGTAATCATGCAAACACAATGGGCCCAGACAGCTAACCATACTGGAAATTAAATATTTCCAAGGACACATGTAGGTTGAAAAGTGTTACCTATTCCGTGCTTTTGCATGATTTATCAACAAAAAAAAAGTTTGTCATGGCTTTTGTTGTCCACATTTCTTTCCACGTTTGTTGAAGGCTTTAACTGTCAGTAATTTGTTGCTGCTGTATCTGCAATTGCACTCTTTTATGCATGGCTATGGTTTTGTTTTTCCCTGGACTTATAATTTAAACATCCGTGCCTTTGTTCTTGTATATTGTTTTTATTGTAGTAATGCCACATTTTCTCTCTCAATAACACATAATAATAATTCTAATTTACAGCTGTTTGTCAATCTCCATGCTGGATGAGTAGAAGGCCATGGGGGATGTTTTAACCATAGCTCATCACTCGAGTCGGTGTGGCCAATGTGGGACTGACAAAGGGTGACAATTATTATTTTACAATTCCTATTACTCGATAAAAAATGGACATCAATAGAGATAATGAATCTTAATATAAGCAAGAGGGAATGAATCTCAATTTGACTCTCAACTGGGCGAAAGGACATCAGTTTCAATACCGCTCTCACGTGGGTTAAAGGTTATACTAGTTAAATATTGATAGAGCAATTAATTATACCACTGCGTCGGGTTTTCACGCTTGTGCCGTATAGATCTCTGATGCGTTTTTTTTGCGGCAGTAAGCGTGTTGTTTGGCATGGTGTCTGACGTTTCGCGAAATGTGCTGGGAACTTCTTTAGAAATTGAATTGAGCAGTTACACTTCCTCCGTTGTATAGCGTCGCGGGCTGAAACGTTGCACGTCATACCGAACAATACGCGCTACAACCCCAAGACACATCGAAAAGCAACGAATTACGTAACACATTCTCTATTTTGATTTAAAGATTTCGTGACTGCAGGGATTCATCTTCTTGGTTCTTTCGGTAAAGTCACGTAGAAGGGAAGTAATACAATAATAAAAATAAAACATAATAAAATAATATAATAATATAATATAATAATATAATATAATTATTAAATTCTTTTATTTTATTATGTTTTATTTTTATTATTTTATTACTTCCCTTCTACGTGACTTTACCGAAAGAACCAAGAAGACATTCTTTATTGATAAAGGACATCATCAATCCCAATATGATTGTCACATGTTACATAAAGGTAGTCTACTAGATAAACGTCTGCATCTGTGAGTGGAAATATACATTCTGGCCTGACTCTGACCAAGGTAAAATATAATAAAAATTATGTCATTGATAATAGGGTTTTCCCCTTTTTTCTGGCAACAAAACAGGTGTTAAGATGTTAAATCACCAAACTCAAATCTTTTACAAGGAATCATGTCTGGATTAACCACAATGCTTGTGGTCAGAATGCAAACAAAAAACATACTCTCAAAATATATGCACTGTCCTTGAAACTGATTGGTCCACACCAGAAACAGCTTTCTTTTGAGCCTCGTCTCAAACGGTGTTAGACCAGAGGACGCCAAAAGGCGTACAGCCCAAAGACAATACACTATCAGAGTAATGAGAGCTCGGGTTGAGCATCTACATCATGGGACCTCCTTTGCCAGTACCAAAATATGATAATAGGGGTTTCCCCTTTTTCTGGCAACAAAAGAGGTGTTAAGATGTTAAAACACCAAACTGAAACCTTTTACAAGGAATCATGTCTGCATTACTCTTTGGTTCTTTCGGTAAAACGTCCGTCATCAGGTGGGACAACCACAGCAAGAAACAATTGCTGCAGCCCAAAGACAATGCACTATCAGAGTAATATCTTTGGGCTGTACGCCTTTTGGCATCCTCTGGTCTAACACCGTTTGAGACGAGGCTCAAAAGAAAGCTGTCTCTGGTGTGGACCAATCAGTTTCAAAGACAATGCATATATTATGAGAGTGTTTTTTGTTTGCATTCTGACCACAAGCATTGCGGTTAATGCAGACATGAATCCTTGTAAAAGGTTTCAATTTGGTGTTTTAACATCTTAACACCTGTTTTGTTGCCAGAAAAAATGGGAAAAACCTATTATCATATTTTGGTACTCGCAAAGGAGGTCCCATGATGGAGAATCCTGTCAATCTTAACATGGTTTCCACACGCGTCACATGAAGGCCATCTGCTAAATAAAGGACATCCTCAGTAGGAATTTACCCAATCTGGCTCTCGCGAGAGTTAAATATGCATTGGTGTAACTTTGCCTTGGAGGAGTATACTGTACAACTAAATGACCACCAAGTTTTTCTGGTTTTATTTACAACAAATAAGTCATTGCAATTTCAGACGAGCCTCAATGTGTATGGATGCTCAAAGAATTACTACTAATGTCTAACATGTTCTATGATGATTGAGCGCACTAAAATTAGAAACGGTGTTATTATCAGGTTGAAAATATTCCCTGCCAGTACCTGGTTAGTGCAGCTAAGATGCTCACAGTCATCGTTAAATATCGTTTGGGTGCCGTTTCGAAGCCAAATTGATCAAGCGAAAGTGATATCTTGCTCAAATGGTCAACGAAGCGGTGATCATCTGCTGCTCACAGTCATCAAACCAGTTTTAGAAATTCTGCATTTCTATGGCAGGTGCCATAATATTCATAGGACAACCACTGTTGACTTCCCCGCAAAGTGACACTCATTTTATCGGCCCCAGACGGACGATGGGCTGGGTCAACCCCCAACCAGGATTTCAACTCGCAACCTTTTCATTGCCAGCAGCTCGTTTTTGTTTTACTGTTGAACCACTTAACCATGTGCTTATGGGCTGAATGGAATAACGTCGCGGACTGTCGATGGCCCAAGGGTCGTCGGGTTTTGATCCCTGGTATGAAAGAATTTAACACATTTGTCAATAACACTGCAATGCCCCGATCCGCAAACACGGAGGCATCACAGCGACACGCTCCGCTACGCCTGACGCGCTTATCTGGGCTTGACCACGTGGATGTGAAATTGTAGTCGTCGCTCTACATCTCCATCAGCCATACAAAAAGAAAAAGGGAAAAAAGTATAGGCACACGTGCTATGAAAAAGGACCACTGCCCGAAACGTTGCCTATTTTGTTTGGGGCATTTTCCCATCTGTATCGCACATTCAGGTTTAGGACACATTGACGGCTCGGAAAATTAAGTGGCCTTGTGCAAGACACGTTAATGGAGGTGACGTTTTGGACAATGGCGCATGTGATCTGAAGACGAACCCTTTATTTTTATTATTTTATTTTATTATTTCCCTTCTACGTGACTTTACCGAAAGAACCAAGAAGATGAATCCCTGCAGTCACGAAAGCTTTAAATCGAAAAAAAAATTAACCCGTAAAAACAAAGTTTTTCACTATAAATCCTCTATATGCGTGGCATCGGTTTTATTTTATTATTCATTTCTGTTTTTCTTGAGTAAGAGTTTCATTTTTATCACATTGGTATTTTAAATAAAATATGAAAAAAATGTTTCCTAAAAAGTGGAAAATTTTGGAAAAATGTTTTCACGAAAATAAATTGTCACGCACAACGAGTCTGTGTGCAAAATGTCAGCTCGATTGGATCACGGGAAGTGGGTTAAAAAACGACCAAAAGATTTGCACGGTCGTAAGCGCGCAAGCAAGCAAGCAAGTGAACTTAATATAAAGGATTTAAGAACCGATTTAAAGCTTTCGTGACTGCAATGATTCATATTCTTAGGTTTTTTTCGGTAAAGTCACGTAGGTAAAACATTAAAATTAATAAAAGTAACGTCGTGATTTTTATTTATTTTTATTAATTTTAATGTTTTACCTACGGCACAACGAGTCTGTGTGCAAAATGTCAGCTCGATTGGATCACGGGAAGTGGGTTAAAAAACGACCAAAAGATTTGCACGGTCGTAAGCGCGCAAGCAAGCAAGCAAGTGAACTTAATATAAAGGATTTAAGAACCGATTTAAAGCTTTCGTGACTGCAATGATTCATATTCTTAGGTTTTTTTCGGTAAAGTCACGTAGGTAAAACATTAAAATTAATAAAAGTAACGTCGTGATTTTTATTTTATTTTTATTAATTTTAATGTTTTACCTACGTGACTTTACCGAAAAAACCTAAGAATATGATTTAAGAACCCTTGCCTGAAACGTCGCCTTATCGTAACCGTATCCTTTTAAAGCCACGGTGCTATTGACGAATGCGTTGATTTGTATTCTCCTCGTTACTTGTGCTCGTGCACGGCTTGGAACATTGACGCTTTGTCGCCAAAGAAATGACTCGATCGGGACATCGCCCGCTACTGGCAGACCAATGCCCCCCAGCTCACTCTCGCCAACGTCGACGTATCATCTCGGCTAAGGGGCCGTCCATAAATGACGTCACGCACCTGGGGGGGGGGTCAGGCATTTGTGACTATGTGTGACGAGGGCGGGGGGGGGGGGTTAGAAATGTGACGTCACGTCAAAATGCGCAACTTTAATCAATATAGACAACACGTTCTGCTTAATTAGATAGACTTTTAAATAAATGTTTTCTCCTACAACATCAGAATGCAGCGCCACATTAAATACGCACTACAATGACAAGAGTTTAAAGCGATTTTAAGCATGTTTAATTTGGGGGGGGGGGGCAGAGCTTTGTGACGTCATATTTGAGGGGGGGGGGTCTGACTTTTTGTGACTCCGTGTGACGAGGGGGGGGGGGGTAAACAAAATCGTCCAAAATCGCGTGACGTCATTTATGGACGGCCCCTAAACCACACGCGCACACGATGCAAAGTTGTAACTTATTGTGAAGGCTTTCAAGCTTTCGCGACTGCATGAATTCATATTCTTTGGGTCTTTCGGGAAAGTCACGTAGAAAAAATACAAATTAACAAAAAAAACTACGACGTTTCGATCGCAAATACCCAAATAACTATTGTGAAAGAACCAAAGAGTAATTCCTGTAGTCACGAAAGCTTCAAATTAATTATAGATTTGAAGCTTTCGTGACTGCAACGATTCATACTCTTAGTTCTTTCGGTAAAGTCACGTAGGTAAAAAATGAAATTAAAATTAATAAAAATAAAATAATAAAATCACGAAGTTTCGGAGGCAACACAAGTCTCCGTCATCAGCCAGATTTGCTGCATCACTTGATGATTTTTATTTCATTTTTACCTACGTGACTTTACCGAAAGAACTAAGAGTATGCTCCAAATTAAGTTTATTGTGAAGGGTGACAATTGAGGGTGAGCTCCGGGTAGAGGGGGCGGGGTGGAGGAGGGGAGGGGGAGAGGCATGGGCACGTGGCCCCGCCCACAGGAGGGAACCCGGAAGTGGCACGCACGTGTTCGCGCGCACCGCCCCCATCATCATCACTGCCCCCGCCGCCGCCACTGTCAGAAAATCGTGAGCGCCGGGCAGAATGAGCCCTCGCTCCTGCCGACAGCCATGGACGAACGCACGCTCGTAATTCGCATAAAGACGCCGGATGGAAACGACGTCGATTGGAGCGTCGACCCCATTCCGCAGCTCTATTTCAGAGACGTGCTGGTGAGAGAGACGACGACGCCGCCGCCGCGAACGAGTCCCCACTTCGACCCCGACCGCCCCTCACCCCCCCAACCCCGTGGGCAGGGGGCCCACCACCGCCCTTCGTCCGGCTTCGGTCGCTAGGCGAGCGCGCTGTTCTCGAGCCAGGCCTCTCTCGAGAGAGTTATCGCGCGAGTTTTTTTGTTGTTTTGTTTTTACGAGAGACGCGAGTTGAGAAGACGACGTTGAGGATTGAGTTCTGCGCAGCGGTCAAGCGACCGCGTGCTTCGCTTGCTTTGACAGCTCTTTAAAGTGGCCACCGGGGTCCATTGAGAAGCTAGAGTTTAGTTGTTTTGAGAGGGGGGCCCGGGTTACAAAGCAGTGCAGCAGCAGTAAGCGTAAACAAACAATCTGAACATCAGAACATGATGGCAATGCGAACGTGAAACAACAAAGGGGCCGTCCATAAATTACGTCAAGCACCTGGGGGGGGGGGAGAGGGGGGGTCAGACATTTGTGACGATGTGTGACGAGGGGGGGGGGGTTGAGAAATGTGACGTCACATCAAAATGCGCAACTTTAAATAAATATAGACAACACGCAACACGTTCATCTTATTTAAATATACTTTTTAATAAATGCTTTCTAAAACATCAGAGTGCAGCGGCACATTAAATACGCACTACAATGACAATCGTTTAAAGCGATTTGAGGCATGTTTTATTTGGGGGGGTTCAGAGCTTTGTGACGTCATATTTGAGGGGGGGTCTGACTTTTTGTGACGCCGTGTGACGAGGGGGGGAGGGGGATGCCAAAAATCGGCCAAAACCGCGTGACGTCATTTATTTACTGCACAGAATTTAGTCAACACTGTCGGCAATTAACAATAATGTTTGCACAAACATACAACACTAAACAATTTTAGCGAGACGCATGTTTTGCTGCGAAGTGGCGGTGTAGTTAAACGGGCAATGCCGTGAGTAAGTACGCGGCTTACAAAATGTGAGCGTTATTGTGCTCGCTTCATAATAATAATGTTACTAATCATCGTTTCGCCGAGATAATAACCGTTCGACAACTCCTGCATTGACCAAAAACTTTTCCAACTAAAATCTAAACGGCTGCGGTTGAGATGGCCCCATAGGTTGCAACGTGGAGAAATGTGGACCAATTTCACCTGGTTTTAATTGGCTGTTCATTCCAGCGGATTGCAGCAAAACTGCCTTTTGTTCCCTTCGTGTCCAAAAATACATTCGAAATTGAGTCTCAATACGCATTTTCAAGAGCGTGCGAGTCATCGAGGTCGCGTGCCTATAACGCGAACGTCTGTGCGTTTGCCTGTTTATTATGCGCGTACGTCCGTTTGCTGTATTGTACAGCCGAATACACACTCACACACACGCACAATTGGGGCTCACTAAATGGACTAGCTCTACCAGATTATAACGGTTTTCATAGCGTCCAGCCAAATCGTGCTGTGGAAGTCTACGCATGCATGGAATGACATCGTGAGTTAAGAAGAGAAACACAAATGTTAGAGTTAAATACATCATATACTATGAACTTTTATTTATTTATTTACCAGGTAAGGCCCACCGAGCTATAAAGCTCTCTTTCAGAAGCGACGTGGCCATAAATGATATCCTAATGTGGTGGCATCCAAATAATCTAAACGCGTGTGTCTAATGTGGAGGGAAAAACCCGCAGGACCCAGAGAAAAATCGACGCGACCACAGGGAGAACATGCAAAACTCCAACTACACAGGTGTCAAGGGTCAGGATCGAGCCCACGATCTCCTGTATACCAGGCGAGGCAGCGAACATCTCACCCTGATATTGTTGCCTGTTTAGACAATTAAGTGGGCTTGGGCCGGAACATGTCACTGAACGGGGATGATGGCCGTTGGTTCAGCCTAAGGCGACTGGGTGTCTACCGTGCAGACGGAGCAATACGATCATTGTTGTATCACAAGACGGTGAAATATGACGATTGTTTGGAGAGGTCATCATCTGGCAGTAGATATAATATGATTGGTAAGGATCAAGTGCATGCCGTGATCATAAAGTGCAACTCGCATTTTCAGCGTTACGAGTTCAACTGCTGATTGGGATGGACTACGCCCTCATCCCTTTATATGAAATCAAGAGGAGTTCTTTAGATTCCCTTGCCCCTGCCATTTCTAAAATTGATCCAGGGCTCCAAACTGGAGATGAGGGCCGACCCATTCTATATGAATGGGAAATAAAAAACAAAAATTCACTTAGGGACTGCCAATGCATGAAATATACCCACATCAGTGTTGTAATGAACCATACCTTGCGGTACAGGTCACACATGCCACCCTCTGACTCTGACCTTTCTTTTTGGGCTTGCCGAAAGTGTCGTTTTCTTAAGCCAGATGGGAAGTGGTGCATTGTGGTTGGCTTGGACCTAGGCGCGAGGAATGAATTGGTGCTCCATGTTCAATTCCCCCCCCCCCCCCAATTTATTGCCCGGTGCCTCAGTCCCAGCTGCAGTTGTAGTACCTGCAAACTCGATAGCTATGCCACTGCGAGACAGTTTGCCACGATGGTCATCTTGTCGCTTTTGTCATCCTGTGTGGCGGCACTTGAGACTGAAATCACTCGGTGGCGCTTGCCTGGCTGTCCCTGGGGTCCGTTGTTGGTGGCTGGGCCCCAGTGTGCTTCATCCTGAGCTCTGGCAGCAATGATCTCTGTCCTCTCTCCCATGTTTCCCTTCCCTTACTCTGCCCCCCCCCCCCATATACTCTTTTGTTAAAGTGCATTGAGATTGCTTTGCATTTAAATGCCAAATAAGAAAAAATGCTGTTGAACTTGATAAGCCCCCCCCCTCCCCCGCAAAACGAATTCCCACTCCACCGTCTCCTTCAGCCTCTGAGCTAAAGAGACGGCAAACATCTTACATGTGTTCCTCTCTTCATCCAGCATTGATCCATCCGTTCCTTCACAGCTAATCGTTGTGCAGTGAGACACGGGCTATTCCTCTGCACGGCGCAATATGTCGCCACGGCTCGTGGACGTCTTGTTCCACTAGCGGACTCCCATATTAACGTTTCCCAAGAGCCGTTTGCATCAGCGCGGGGTAGATATTGAGTGTGCAGGCGGTGCAACTACACTGGTGCCCATGGATTGGGAGTGCCTAGCCACCTTCATCTCACCAAGGCCTATACCAACTGCGCTATGCCACTGGTTTGTACTGTTTACCAAAAGTGATTTTTTTTTTTTAGACGGGCCAACCTCTGTCTGGTTTTGATTTCTTTGAGTCTTCTCGGCAAGGCGCGGCCCATTAATAATCCGCATTAACAACAGTGTGGAGCAAATGCTCAAAAGACCTTTTGTGGTCATGGAGAAGTAACAATAATAGTGGCTTCCAATGGAGGAAACGTGCCCAAGAGGACACCCACCAACAGAGATTGGGTGATGAAATCTGCTCGTGTGCAGAAACTAGACGGGCTGTTGCATCGCCAGACCGTGCGTGAGAGTCGGTGATGGCTTGGGGAGTCATTTATCCAGCAGTGATAACAATCCGTTGTCTTTTAAGTGTTCCATCTCACATCGTGATGGCCCCGAGAATCATCCGCACTCTCCATTCCACTGCAAATGCAACGCGCACAATTTTCTGGTCATTACTTCTACTCAGCGAATCTGTTCCTCAGTCAATGAGTCTGGCTCTCATTTGGCTAATTTCCCCTCATGAATGCAAACAGCCGTGGAGAGTTTTAATACCAACGCCGCCACTTCTGCATCGCCGTTTCCCCCAAGTACCCTTTCTAGGCTACGGACACACTGGGCAAAATGTAAAGTATCACAACTCCTACCGACAATCTTCACCGATCGCAGCTGTCCGCACCGTTTTCTTGCGGCTTTGCAGGTGGAAATCCCCTGTCGGACAATGCTTTCGTCATGCAAGTCGCCAATGTTGCTCAAGGCAAAATGAGTTGTCGGTGGAAGATTTCCAGCTATGGTTGCTAAAAAAAAATTGTCTTTTGGCTTCTTGTAGCTGCGAGTTTATTGTCATTCCCTCCGTACCTCCGATTCGCACGGTTGGCTACGTACGGTGCGAAAGAAGTTCAACATACATGCACAATTCGAGGAGCATCGAGTGGGACCGTCACTGCCACGCTGGCCACGTTCGAGCCAGCAGGGGGCACTCACCGCTCCCGTATTTGACAGAAAAAACGAGGCAAGGAATTACCCCCCCCCCCCCCACTGCGCTGTCTGTGTGCGAGCACACTGCGCAGACCACAGTGCGGTGCAGACGCAAAACAAATGGCCAAACTGTGATGGGGAGTGAAGGAGGCCACCGCCGTTACACATTCTCAGATGTCTGCTTTATTTTTTTTGTCAGGATGTCATCAGTCAAGTCCTCCCTGAGGCCACGACCACAGCCTTTGAATGTGAGTTTTTTTTTCTCTCCTCCGTCCTGTGTGGTTCCGTACACCCTATTTGCATCTGATTATGCAGGTTTTTTTTTTTTCCGTGGCAATTTATATACTTATTACCCTTTAAATATTCGCGCATTTTTTTGAGGCGCGGATTATTTGGTGGGCGAGCGATAAGTTTTGAAGGCTGATAATTTAACGGAAGAACCCTGGGTTTTTTCTTGTTTTGTAATGCTTCGCATTTAGAGATTCGGTTTGAGAAATTGAATTTTAGTGACTAATCTCAACGGGAATGACATCTCGGTGTCAATACTTAGAGGTTTTTTTTTGCTTGCATTAAAAAATAACTTTTCCTTTCAAGGTTTAATAAAATATAGTATTTCTTTACAATTTTTCATTTACAATAAGTATTATTCTATCAGCCAATAACACGATGATGGAAAAAAAAAAACCCCCACCAAATTGATTTTTTCTTTTTTTCTTTTGTAACTCGTGATATTCCATATCTTACATTAAAAAAGCAAGAAATCCACATGAATACGGTAGACGACAGGCTGTTTAAACGAAATCGCATTTGAAAGGTTTAAAAAGATATGTTTTTTTTTCTCTCTCCCTCTCTCCCTTTCAGACGAGGATGAGGATGGCGATAGAATCACCGTTCGGAGCGACGACGAAATGAAAGCCATGCTGGCCTATGTGTGTTCCGTGTGCGTCGCATTATAGAGCCTGCCAATGTTAAATTGTGAATCAAACATTGGCGAGCACCACTTGAAGGTGCATGAAAGGAAGCTGAAAATTAATTTTGGACCGATCGCAGAAGGGGCCTGGCCGTGCCACAATGCCGAGCCAAATCGAAAATTCAAACAAACCAACGAGACTCCCCGATCCTTCGATGCGCGTGCGCTCATTTAATTACGCTAAAATGGCGACGTAAATTTTTTCGGGGGGGGGGGGGTAAACTTTTTTTGGAATTATTGCATTTAAAACACAACGTTGCCACTCCTCTTGGCTGTCCGCGTGTGACTTTTGTGACGTGGCTTCGCTTTAATTGCGACGTCTAATTCTGCGCGTTTCACATTTACTTGTTTACCTGCCGCGGGAATATCCCGTCTCGTAGAAATGCTTTGGCCGTGCTCCACGGCAGTTTTTGCCCCATTGTAAACGGTTTGCCCCGACTCTCGCCCTTTTCACTTGTGTTCTATAATCATCCGCTCCCTGCGTGTCCGCGAGAGTTTATTTGAGGGCTGAGGTGTGCCGAGACTCAATGAGACGCTGTGTCTTCGCAGTACCTGGGCACGATGCATGACATGCAGATGTCCGGGGAAATGGTGGAGCCTTTGAACATCTACCCGAGGGGTAAGAGCCAGACTTGAGTCATTCTTGTGTCCTGCTGCTGCTGCTGCTCCGATGCTCCGTTGCGAAGATAGCCCCTTGGGGAGGGCAGGTGGGGTAGAGGTGGGCACCACGGTAGAGAGTTGGTTGTTAGGTATAATTTAAAGTGAATTTTAAAATTAAAATTGGTTGCGTTTATTTTTGTAACCTCTTTGTGCGCAATGTCCCTTGTGTTTTGTGACGGTGCTGTGAGAGAATGGTCGACAAGAGGCATGTCACGATTCTTCCCAGATTCTCTTAATCTTTGCGATTCTCCTGGGTGATTCGGTTCACAAAATTAGTAATTTTAGTGAAGAGCATATTTAATAGGCACGTAGCGATTCATTCCCCCAGTAATTTTAAGAATTGTCACGATTCGGGGTTCTGGAATTGTTTCCTGAATGTTTTATTTTTTGTCTCGTTTTCATCACCTCATTTGTATTTTTAAAAATGATCTTTCTCATACCTACACTTGTGTTCGCTTCATTATATTCAATGTGACAAAAACGTTTCTTTGCCATATAATTTGCATACGGCAAAATAATTGATTCCGCAGGCATAAAAACGACCAAATTTACTCGATGCTTTGTTACGTGCTTATGCACGTAACAATGTAAGCTGCTTGCAGACAAACGGTGTAGTTCATGCAAGTGTCTGCTGGAGAATTGAAAACAAAAAAATGAAATCTCGGGGACGGCTTTGCTGACCGACCGGACGCACGCGTTGCCACGTCCTGACCCAGAAGGGGTGACGGGGATCGCTCGCTCAGCGCGGCTCGCTCCGCTCGGCTCGCTCGCCGGAGCAGGCCCACACCGCGCCGGCGCCGTGACACGTTAACACTCCCTTAACTAAATAAAAAATGGAATAGTTAAAAAGGTAATTGATGGCCGGTGGACAAGGAGCTCGCTTAAAAAGAGGCCCTGGTGGCCGTGGAATCTGTCAAAGGCGACGGCTCGGCGACCGGTAACATATGGGAGCCATTTAAAAGAAGTCCTTGCCTGGAGTGATCGTCATGAAGCCACCACGCCTGCCCGCCCGCTCGCTCGCTCGCTTACTCGCCCGCTTGCCCGCCCGCCCGCCCGCTCTGTCCATCATTTTTTCCCGCCGCTAATTTTCGCGGCCGTTTCAATTTTCCTTCCCCGCGCGCAATTCATTTTCTGACATATTTATAAATCGCTTGAATACGACTCCCCAATTTAGCTCAATTACTCTGTTCCAGCTTGCAAGCCACCAGGGAAGCGAAACATACACGGCCTGAAGGTAATCATTTCAATAATTGTTTTAAGAGGGGGGGTCGGTGGGGTGGTTGTGGGTGTTGGGGAATGGGGAGGAGGTGGGTGTCGGTGGGGGGGGCGGAGGGAGGGGGTGGGTGAGCAGGCCATAAATTTGTAATGCTGATGTAGATTGGCTAAATGTGGGCAAAGGAATTTCAACAGCTGCTTTATTGCCAAGCGTTTGACATTAGTCGAGCCTTTTGTCACACTGCACGTTGATTTCATTTCGTTTTAACCGTTACATATTACCGCATCACTGCCTCTGTTAAACAATTGAAAGTCCCACTTTAACTATTCTTTTTCTCCTTTGATGTCCATACACAGGTAAAAAAAAATTGGAGATTTTTTTTCCTTCTTTGAAAAATATCGGGGTGGCAGATATGAAACACATAATCGGTTGCGACAATTGTTACCTTAATATATCGAATGAAGCGCATTTCAAGAACATGCACTTCATGAAAAAATAATTTCTAATAATTTTCAACCCTTTTTACTGTATTTAAAAACCCATCATCACTTCACGGGCATAGCCAACAGTGAACGAGGTATTGGCTTGTGCAAAGCATTAAGGCGGAGGTAGCGTTTTACGGCAAAAAATATTTTATAAACATATATACATGTAAAAATCCCTCTCCGCGTCCGGTTGGCTCCTTTGCCGTCGGCGGAACCTGCCGACAGAATAATTAACCTTGGCAGGGAGGCGGGACGCGGGCTAATTAGGAGGCAGCGCTTGGCAGCGCCCGTTCGCACGTGACGCGACCCCCTCCCCTGCTGACCGCCCGCAGGTAAACACGCGCGCCGGGCCAGGGAGCGGGGCCACCGCCTCCACCGCCAGCGCGAGCGACAGCGGTGGCGGCAGTAGCGGCCTCCCCACCAACAGGTACCGGACGGGCGGCCGACGCACGAGAGTCGCTTGAGCCGGTCGCCCGGCGTCGGCGCGGTTTTTTCCACCCGCACAACGGCACGGCCTGTAATTGCCCTGAAATGCGGTTCGGCAAGCCCGCGAGTTCGGGGACGGAACGTTTCGCACTTTTTCAGCCCCCTGTTCTATGATATGGTACGCACGTATCGCAATTTAAACCCCCTCTCCTCCCGCCCCGAAATACAAGCGAGGTGTTCCACAATTTTGGCAGTACATTTCAGGCACTTCACTAATGTGGATAATCATTGGTAGAATAATAAAAGTGGCTTTTGATCGAGGCAACAAATTAGTATTCTGTAATGCGGAGAGAATTATTTTTTACTACGACCTGACCTGGAGAGCGTGCAAAACATTTATTTGAGACAATTATCACAGTACAGCAACTCTGCGTCCCTTCGCAATGCACAGTGGAATATTGAGAGAGTAGCAGGGAGTGCGCAACGGTGCGCGTGTATGGACAGGGAAAGAGAGAGAATGGGGATTGCACGCCGTTAGCCGTCCATTGCAGCGAACGGACGGCAACGTGTCCGTGAAAGTGACCCTGTCGAAATTTGCAAAACATTCCATAAAGCACTTATGAATTGAGGTTCATTTATTTAAAATATTGGACTGGAAATATGCAAACAAAGCGATTGTACTCGTTAAGATATTGTACGTATATAATCTGGCGTGGAGTGTGCAGGTAGCACACGAAACTGAAATGTATTTTAAGGGTTTTAGATGACGAGACTTGTTCCGCTAAAACAGTGGGAGTCTCGAGGGGGACAGGTATGACAACGTCAGCGCCAGCTATGGTAGCCATCTCACAAGCCAGGCCACCAGCGGCTCCATACGTTGCTACGATTCGGGGTCACGGTTTGACTCAAGAATCGATTTTTGTTTTTGTCTCTTTTGTGTTGTCCATCTCGTTTGTGTAGTTTTGTTCATTGCCTTTCCCTAAATGTAACAATAATATATAATTGCGTGTAATTTTCATGAATAGTTAACACGAAATTATCTCGCATCATGCATTGATGAATCGATCCGTCATTACATGCATACTCTTAAGATATATTAGTAGATGCAATGAGATATTTGTCGAAACAAGCCAAACTTCTACAATGCAATTTACATTCACATAGTTGTGTCAAAATGCAACCACATCTCCAGGCACTTCACAGTGGACAAAAAAACCTAGCTATATGCAAATATAGTTTATTGTGAAAATATTTGACACTCAATAGTATCACTTAGTTTAGCGCAAAAATTCTCAAAAAGGAAAATAAAGCTTCAAACCGTAAACAAAACATGCAAAGATAATTGTTCAACCGCCACGGACAGGAAAAAAAATATTATTACTGATTTATGAAGAAGAAGAAAAAAAGCAATCCATGTCGTTGATAGTCTGGTGCGGTGGCCACATTTTACCCAGTGACCTCGGCGCATGTTCACCGGAGTTGCTGGCCACTCGTCGGCCGTATGGAGATGAGGAGGGGCGGGTGGGGGGGAAGGGGGCAGCCCTGAGGGCAGAGCCCTCGTGCGTTCTGGGCGGCGCTGCAGCATCACCGAGGCTCTCCGTCCTTCAGAGGCGATGCTAATTTGTTAGTCCCGTTCGCTGGCGGACGTTTAAAAGATCCCCCGACGCTCCGCCAGAACAGTGGGGCTGCGGCGTGCCCGTGTCGCGCCTAAATTAACCAGCCGCTATTAAAGGCATATTCCCCTTACACCAGCGGCAGCCTCCTTCAAAACTCCGTCCAGGGCAGCCGAACGCGGCCACCCAGAATAAAGCATTTCTGTAATGGCGATGTTGTCGGGATTGCGGTCACTAATGGCATGCAGGGATGATGCGGTTTTTTTTATTTTCGTCCACACGAGTGTTATGTGTGAAATGCACGTAAGTGCTTACGAGCCGTGCCCTGCCAAGCGAACGTGACCCACCTCCGTACTGGGACACGCCAAACCGCCCGCAATAAAAATGGAGTGCCCCGAACGCTCCACGGGTATCGGCTTATCGGTTGAAACTGGATTGTCTGCCTGACCCTCCCCGTGTTTGTCATTGCAGTTTAAAGAAGCCCTCGGCAGAGCTAAATAAGATCCTGGCCAACGAGCAGGTACACCAAAGGATCGCGGCCGCTCGAACTCTCTCTCCCGTCCCTGCATGCACGGGCTCGCGCGTCTCTACTACGCCGAAAGTGGCGGCGTCGAATCCCTGCCCCAGTTGCACCGCCACGCATCCTGTGTCTCTCTTTCTAGATTTGAAGCTTTCGTGACTGCAAGGATTCATATTCTTAGGTTTTTTCGGTGAAGTCACGTAGGTAAAAAATTAAAATTAATAAAAGTTAAATAAAAATAAAATAAAAATCACGACGTTACGGAGTCACAGCACGATAGCTGTATCATGATACAGTTATCGTGCTGTGACGGTTCCACCTGAAAACGGAAGCTTGTGTTGCTTCCGAAACGTCGTGATTTTTATTTTATTTTTATTTTACTTTTATTAATTAAAATTTTTTACCTACCTGACTTTACCGAAAAAAGCTAAGAATATGTGTCTCTCTTCCTGTCTTCTTTAATCGTTGGCTTCGTTTTTTTTGCGCGATTTCTGTCATAGCTGCATAATGTGGCAATAACCCCCCCCCCCCCAACCCCCCCACCCCCATGTTTCAATTTGTTTTTTCAAATGCGCTGCCCTATTTCTGGAAGATGACTGCCATGCCATTTGCTTCTTTATTGTTCGTTATTTTTCTTAACAATGAGCGCCGAGTTGTTTTTTTGTCATTCTTACAGAAAAGTTTGGAAATTAAAGCCGTTTTTAACTTTACGAAAACGTAACCCGAGGGCGTCCTTGCCAGATGCGGTGCGCTCCCGTTTTACTCTGGCGAGCGGAATGAATCTCTCTTCTTGCTCTTTCGCTCGCCGACTGGAGCCGGTAGTAAGCGCGCACCATGATGCTGATTTGCCGTCTCTTGTACAGACACATTAGATCCACGTCATTCTTCATTCATCCAGGAAAGCCTTGACTGTCAAGTCTCAGAACTTCTTGTTTTTTCGGAGACTTTTTTTTAGGGTCATTTGGCCAAACACGTCGACGGAAACTGTCAGCCGGTGAAGACGTGCGCATGCCAAAATTGAGCGCTCAAATGCAGCGCAGAATGGTTACCAGCGAACTTTATATACCGCCATCTCCTGGCCAACTTCTCTGCAGATGAGTGTGTGATGCACAAAATAATCTCATCGCCATCCACCAACCCTGCCTCCTCACGAAGCCTGTAACGATTCTCCCCCAGTCACGAGTCAACGATTCAATGATTTGTCGCAATTCTGGGATTGTTATTCGATTCAATCGTCGAGGCTCATTTGACCATTTTGGTGACTTAGCGGCATCTGGCCGCCGCAGAGGTCACTTGAAAACCAATTGCAAACGACGTATCGGGATAGAAAACAAACAAATTTTTGCACATGCGGTTGGCGGCATTTATCTTGAACTTATGTGTCGATGATCATCGATGAATTGTAACATCGTTAAACCCCTGCTTGACAACTATATTGTACCTCTGCGCTATTTACTGCTTGGTTAGCGGAGCATTTAGCAGCTTTATCAGTGTACCATATTTTTTTTGTATTCAGTTGTGAAATTAAACGACGTGCCGCGTTCGTAATCATCAGCCGTTATCAATCCACTGCTGGATAAGGGCCTCCTCAAGCAGGTTGTCATCTCTCGCACGGTGTTCATCTGCCGCACTGGAGCTGAGTACGTCGCTCCATTTCCTCAGCGGTCGTCCTCGGGCGTGTTCTGTCCGTTGGCCGTCACTCTGTTGCAGAGGTCGCAAACGGGTTTTGATTCCTTACCCGTACCCGTACCTGGCCGCACCAGGGTCGCAACCGGGTACCCGTACCCATACCCTACCCGATAGCCGGCTACCCGTACCCTACCCGTACCCGGCCGGGTATCGGGTAGGGTACGGGTACCTGATTGCGACCTCTGGGATGAAGCCATGTTGCAGGCGCGGGTGGGTTGATTCTAGGAACTTGAATTGTGAGAAGAGACAAGACGTTGGGAAATGAGTGACAAACGGTTACTCACCAGTGACTCACGGCCTACCCGTACCCGGCCGCACCAAGGTCGCAAACGGGTACACGTACCCGTACCCGGTCGGGTACGGGTAGCCGGGTATCGGGTAGGGTACGGGTATCGGGTACCCGATTGCGACCTCTGCTCTGTTGCTATTCTTTGACCACCAGCCATTGACAATCTCAGTGACCAAGTCAACTTTGGGATACTATGGGTGAATTGTTTATGCCCGAGTCTCATAGAGCTAAACTAAGGCACCCTTTTCGAGTCTAGGTATCCGATGCTAATCCCTGAGGCTCATAAAGCCAGACTTAGGATACTTTCGTTTCCTAGGGTTCAGTGTTAATATCCAGGTCTGAAATCCAGAATAAGGCACCTTTAGATTCTTAGGCTCTACTATAATTGTCCAAGGCTCAGTTGGGTGAGTGGCATCGCCGTGGGAGATTACCTTAGCGTATATATATATACACACACTCTATTTACAATAAATCACGAAACCCTTGTAATTATAACAGACCTACAAATCCAGATGGGTCCAACCCCATTTGTATCTGTCCCCTGCTCCCGTGGCTCGGCGCAGCATTTTTTTCAAGTTCTCCGCTTCCGAATCTCTCGGCGAAAGTTTGAACAAAACGAGACGACTTTTCCCCATCCACCCGGCTCGCATCCTCGCTCGCTTCTCCGCCTCTGATATATTTATTTGCCCGCTTGATACATATCTTTACGAAAACAAAATTATTTTCAGGTCGCGGCATAGCACAAAAGGCGTTCATCAAATTGCAGTTGCCGGGCTGCCCAAACTCGTTTAGCAAAATAAATAGGGCCGTGTGAATGGACAGAGGTCGGGTCCATTTTTCCCGTAAGTGTCTGTTTTGTGGGAGCGATGACAGCGGGGTTGGTGTTGACCCTCACCCCGGCAGTCAGACTCAATCAGTTTTCATCCTGCGGACAGACAAGCCCGCTCGTGTGTTACGCAAGGGGACGGGGGCGGGGGACCCCAGGCAAAAGCACTGGGGGGAGCGGGGGGGGGGTTGAATGTTTTTTTTCTCTTTTGTAATCGCGAGGGTGGGGGGGGGTGCGCGAATTCGTGTGTGTGTGCTTGCGTTGGTGGATGTGGGGACTGTGGATAGAGAAAAACGACAGATTGATGGACAAGAGATGGAAAGTGGTGCTTGCGGACACACACACACACACACGTGCGCGTCCACATAAATAGAGACGTACGAAAGAACGGAATTAACGCACCGAAGGCATCTTTTTGTTTTCTTCTTCAGTGGCCTCACGTGAAAGGTTTTGAGATTGGTTCAATTAAAGTTGCAAGTCTCCCGAAAGCCCTATTTTGTCAAAAATTAATTGAACAGCAGCCTATTCCTTCCTTTGTAGCCCTATTCGTTCCTCATACCGCTGCATTCACATTGATAAATGTAATAATTTTTCGTTTTCTTGAATCTTTTCATTGGTTGCACGCAATACAAATTGATATAAATATTTTCTTCCCAGCACGTCCTGGAAGCGCTCTGTAGTCTTTATTCTCTTGCGAGCAGTAAAGAGACATTCACGTGGTTACAGCAAAAGGATTTTTTTTTTGTGCCCGGCAGTTCCCTCCTGAAACCGAGCCTCCGCGCTATTAAACGGGACCTGCCTTGTTAACGACTCGCGGCTATCGACTGCCGTCGCGCGGACGCGCAATATCAGCTCGCGCTGGCGAAAAGACTCGTTAGGAGGAGGAAAAATCGCAACTGACAGCCCAATATTGACCTCATCAGGCGTTCAGTAAAAACGAAAACGGGCCGCGCGGCCCCGCGCTCCCCGCGCACCGCCGATATTGACAGGTTCGAAACGACCGCTCGCGGCCTCGGATTGACGAATGTCGCGTGGCGAGATTGTTATTGTAATAGATCTATTACTCCGAAATTTGTCCGTAATGGGCGAGATTGATTGGGGCGGTTGGAATGGCCCCTAAATTTGTCTCGATGATATTTCGCTCCCTGGCCGAAAGGTCGAGCGGCGAAATGGCAATCGCTCTAATTATTTACAAAAAAGAAGTGTCGTTTCTCGTCGGCGCGTATTGGCTGCCATTTCGTTTTTATGAGGGCGAAATTGTGATTGGTGGACGGCCGTCGCCATCCGTTTAAATTTGTCCACTCGTGACCAAGAGGGTAACCTATTAAAGGGTCGAGGCGGCCGAGTCTGATGGCGCAATATGAAATCCATCTGGTTAAGGTCGTGTTTACAAAAAATCAATAGCGGAGGGGAAATATTGCTTCAAACGGACATGATGTTTTGGAAGTGACAGGTATTTTCATCACTGGTACTTTGTTGGTGTCGTGAAGGTTTAAGCGCTAGGACGGATGAGAGAGGGGGGGCCCTTGCTCTTAAGTGCCGACACGTTGCCTTCATTACCACTTACTAACACGGTAAAAAAAAGAAACGGTGCAACAAACGGCCATTGATTTTTATTTAGATTGCAATTTAATTTTGAATATGGTGTTGAGGAAGCTCATTATTTATTCAGTGTCAAAATCAATGGCTTAGCTGTGTGGGGGAAAGTCAGTGTCTAGTGTACGAAAGGTTAAGTTATGATTTTGGTATTTCAACATTGGATTTTTGTTGAGTTTATAATTTAATTTTATTATGAAATGTTTTGACAGTGTCCCAATTTAGAATTCTTGCTGGAGCGTTATGCTTTACGTGGATGTAATTTTAAAACAAAAAATCCCTCCAGCGATCATTGCACAAGCGTATTTTAATTATTGTTGCGATTATGTTATTGGGTTAATATTTTAAGAACATTTTAATTTGCTTTTAAAGCTAAATGTGTTTTAAAGACTAATTTCTTTGAGATCCAGGTAATATTAACTCTGGTAGGATGTTGTGGCCAAGTCATTAGCATCCAATCAGCGCTAATCTTAAAAGCCTTCATAAATAACTTTAAATCCCCCAAATGAAATTACATAATTGCTGTCAATTAATTATTTGCGAAAGTTTGACAAGAAGGTACTGCATGTCTTGCAATCTTTTTGGGCCCTCTTAAACTCAATGCAGAAGCATTTTAAGCCGTTGCAAGCGGAGAAGACAAGGAAGGACCCTACAAAATAACCAACAAAAATAATTTTTTAAAAGTTTCATATTGATGCTCCTGCACAGCGATGGGTCGTAGAATCTGCCAGTAATGAAACTGCCTGTCAGTAATCCAGAGCTTACTCTCGGCTGACTGTGAATTGTTGGCAAAGTTTCGAACAGTTTACATCTCACTCGTAACTGCTTCCCCACCGCCGCCCACCCCCCACCCTCTCCTCCCCGCCACCACCACCACACACCTTATTTTTATTTATTTATTTTTTATAAATTGCTTGACAAACTGAGTATTGATCGGCTCTGCACTTGACACGACCTCAGACGTAACGCGCACAGACCTTGAGGGGCTTCGTTTGATTGGGCGTTTTTTTTTTCTTCACATGAATAATCTTTTCCCCTCGACGTTTTCTCTTCCTTCTGCCTTCTCCTCTACCTTGCCTTCGTCTCTCTGGCGATACCGTCATTTGTTTTCTTCTTGTTATATCTGCGTGTACGTCTGCGTGTGCGTCTGCATCTGCGTCTTTGTGTACGTCTGTGTCCACACATGTACGTCCGCGTGTGCGTCTGTGTCTTTGTGTACGGCTTTGTGCACCCATGTACGTCTGCGTGTACGTCTGAGTGTACGCCGCTTTTGAACCGAGCTTGCCATTTTCCTCGCTGCGGTCATTATTCCGTCCCGGTTTTTAACCGTTTTCTGCCCCCCCCCCCCGCCTCTCCCCTCGGCCTCCTCCCCCCACCTCCCCCTTACTTCCCCCACGACGCTAATGTTTAATGCAGTGTTTTTAAATCGTTCGACAATTTGGAATGAATTAAGTTGTCTGCCGAGATTAAGAATGTGACGTCTCGTGGGCCATCGCCACTGCGCCGCCGCCCATGCTCGCACGCCTCGAAGCGCCCGCTCTCTCACGCGCTCGGTGCTCCGCGTCTCCCACGCTCTGCCGTTGCACCGGCGGGCGCCTTGTAACCGCGTGGCGGACGTGCCGCTCCGCGAATTCCTCCTTAAACCGTGTGGTGAAGTATGGGCAAATGGCATCAGTGACCCCCTGCTCGCAGTTGACGGGCGCTCCGCATCCATTGTGTGAGCTGACAGAAGGGACATGCGTGTGCTGTGCGCGTGCATGCGCGTGCATGAGAAGGAAGGCTGCCCTTTAGCACGCACGCCCAAGCCAACGCGCCGTGCACGCACGGCCCCCTTGTCGCTCCACTCCTGGACGAGGGCCTTTGCGTGCCACGTGGATCGTGGAGATTGTTTGACCGTGCTTCACCACGCCGCTCAGCCCGGGCCGGTGGTAGTTGGGGGAGATGAGAGCTTTTAAGCGCCGTACTACATAACCCTTTGATGCGCTGCCCTCTTTAGTCTAAATCTCTCGTCGCCAGCCTGCTCTGACCAGCGTGGTGAAGTATGGTGAAACAAACCCCCTTCACCAGTATGGGCTGGTGAAGGGGGTCATCCAGCAGGGGATTGACAGAGAGCTGTGATTTTTCTTTTTGGACTGGAATGTCTTCCGAAATTTCGCCAGCGTCTTGAGATGAGGCCGCGTTTTTGACACCCTCGTTCGTGCTCCGCGCTTGCGAGTCCACTGCTGCACGAGGGCCTCCCCACGCCTTGCCCGTCGTCGGTGTTATTTGGCCATACCTCACCACGCTGGTCAGCGCGGGTTGGTGAAGGCGGGCAGCATAGATGTGGAGGTGTAGACGTTTATTTCACCGTCTCGCCTACGTAGGCACCCAAGTCGTCTTATTTTCTGCGGATTAGACTTTGGCTTTTTACCGAACACAGAGATTCGCTCGCTTGCTGAGAGATGAGCGATTAGCTGCCACGGTGGGCACCACCAGGATCGGCCAAAGAGGAGCGGCAGCTTTTTTCTTTTCAGTTGCCGGTGAGGTCTGTCGCTTTCGTACTTGCTAATGGGCTCGCGTTGTTCTTGCCGCCCCCCCACAACCGCCCCCCTGCAGATCAGTGAGCAGGACATCGAATACCAGGACATGCTTGGCCATGGAAACGGAGGAACCGTCTACAAGTAAGCTCGGCCCGCCTGGCGTCACCCACAGTTCCGTCGGTCCGTCCGCACGTTCCGACAGAACAACCAAAAAAAAAGGAACGTACAAAAAAAAATCGTAAGAAAACAGCTGGCGTCACGTCCCATAGAACGTCCAACAGATGAGATGCTCGCTATACAAGGTAATATTTTGTAAAGGAGCTCGGAGGCATCTGTTTTTATTGGAGTAGTGTACTGCCGAATTTATGACCCGTAATTACTTCCGCTGCCTCGCATGCATTTACATGCCTAATGCCTCTTGGTGGAGGCAGGCAGCAGTAGCAGCAGCAGAGGGAGTTGGTGGAGGCTGACGAGGCATACTAAAATCGGACCGTGCTCTGATATTAAATAAATGGAAGCTCTTCGTGGCATCCTTGACCACGTCGAGTGGCCAGGCCCGTTGCGCTGCAGCTCGCGTGTCCACGGGCGGCTGGGGTTTGGCACCGCTCATCGGGGGTCGGTGTACGTACAGCCATTGTTGCCTCAATGTTGGGGCTGCGGTTACGGCTGCAGCTGTTGTTGTTGTTGGGATTACAGCAGTTAGGATTATGATTGTGTCAGGCGTAGGTTTTGATAGGTTTTGGGTTGGGAATAGACCTTTGAGGCTAAGGCTGTCATTAGGGCTCGGGCTGCGGTTATTGCGTGGGGTTAGGTTATTGTTAAGCAAGGGGAGGGGGAGGGGGGGGCAGTTGTTAGCAAATTGCGCTCTGAACCTCGGCGATCCCGAGCGGGCTTTCCGGCCGCGGCTGACATTCAGCGATGAGTGGTATCTCAACCGGTTCAGGGTGCTCACTTCAGCAGCCCGCGTTGGCCAACGTGGTGAAGTGTGGTCAGAATAAAATTCCCATAACTGACAGCAGTGTGAAGAGGCATTCGTCCAGCGGCAATTTTGATATATGTATATTTTTGTAAACGTTGTGAAATATGTTGTTGGTACTGTGGTTGGTAAGGACTAATTTAGCATTATTGCCAGTGTGTTAGGGTTATTTTTTCATGTTTTGTTATATTTATAATGCTTTTATGGTTTTTAGACGTGAATTGAAAGATGTGTCAATTATTTGTAGGCAATGGTTAGGATTAGGGCAGGTTTATTGTTGATTCAGTAATGAGGCTTGCCAATGTTGTTGGCATACAATTTATTGCTAGGGTTAACATATTTACGGTAATTGTAAATGTTCGGGTAATTTATATAGAAACAGTTGCTGGTTGGGCGGACAAGAATGGATGTAGGGTTTGAGAGGTCATGGCCAGTTGTTGGGATTGTGGCTGTTGTTGTTGTTGGAGTTATTTTACCGTTGGTCGGGGTCGCGAGAAGCAGGCCCTGCGCTCGGACACTCGGCCGCACGGGGTGTGCGGTATTTCACGCGCGTTGAGGCTATTGCAAGATCTCGTTTAACTACGACTCGAGAGCCCACTGCTCCTGTCACGGGAGCGAGCCTTCACGAGCGTTGCTGTTAGCACCGGACTGAGAGCCAAAGGTGAAAAGACCCCCACCCCCACCCTGCCTTTCGATTACAAAACATCGTCTCCTACCAGCTACACCGCCCCCACCCCCACCTCTGCCCACACAAAAGTGTAAACGAGGACGCTATGGGTTGGACCAGATGACGCCAAAAGGAGACTAGGCTCTAAGGAAAGCTGTCTCGGGTGTGGACCAATCAACTTCAAGGACAGTGCATACATTATCCGAGTTATGTTTTTTGTTTGCATTATGACTGCAGATATTGTGGTCTATGCAAACATGACTCCTTGTAAATAAAAAGGTGTCAGTTTTGTTGTCAGATAGAAGGGTAAAAAAAATATTATCATATTTTTTACTGGCAAATGAGGTTCCAATGGTGAGGACGCCACAGTTAGCCCACCGGCAGGTCGCGTGTGGCGGGGCTAAATTGCGGAAACACCCGACTTTTGCCGGAGAAGCCATGGCCAGCGTGGAAGAGTAGGCAATGAATAGCGTCGAGAGGCAGCTCTCGAGATCATTCTGAGTACAGGGGCTGCACCTTGACCTTTTAAATTTTTTGAATGACCGCATTCACGCCACGCCTTTCTGTTTTCACGCTGAGCGGCCGGCGTCGCTGTCGCAGAATTGACTGCGGTCCTGCGCCAGTACCGCGCTGCGCTGTTGACAGACACCGGTTCGCGCGCGCCATGAGCGGTAATCGGCTCGGACGTCCGAGCACAATCCGTACCGTCAATTCCAAACCCGCACTTGAGGCAGAGGGGGCGTGGTGTGGGGCTCGTATTTACTGCATTTATAATTAAATTATCCTTTTGTTTTTCTGTTGTGTTTCGCTCTCCGCCGACACGGCCATTTGAATTTTTTGTAAGTAAACACTTGACTTGATTATTTTGCGCTCGATGCGGTCGCGTTTTTTTTTCCTCTCCTTTTGTCACCGTATGGAAATCCTGCTGCCCGTCATCTGTGCACCCTTAGCACGACAGCTCACGAAACAGAGAATATGCAGGTGGCCCGATGACCTCGAGTGTGAGAGTGCTGAGCCGGCACCGCTGAGGTCATGGGTTCAACTCGGGGTTTTTAACTGCCCTGTGATGGAAGGCGAGTGGATGGTCTCATTCCAGTCACCAAAGATTGCACAAATAAATTTTGGCATTGAATGTAACTAAATCCAGCTTGGAGAATTTTTTAATCATACGTTTTACTGGCTTGCGAGACACAATCTCATAGCAGGGCGCGTTGGAAAGTGTGACCCATTATGAGTAAAGGATAAAAAGCCGACTTGAATTATCTTTCCAGAGGGTGCCCTGTGACAAATATATTCTGCAAATGTTGGAGGTACACCGTTCTGTGAGATTTCCAAATATATAATCACAATTTTATGATGTGATGCCGATCGCACCATGGGAAAGAATTTTCAAAGGGACACAAAAAAACCGACCAAAAGTATATATATTTTAAAAAAATCAAAGGAATCTTGAGCAAAGTCATTTTTTTGATTATTCCCAATGAGATCGTGAATGAACTTAAACTTTTCTCCAGGGCCGGGGCTCTGGTCGCTCACCGCTAATGCTTCTCACCTCCACGCCCACCCACAATCTGTTTTACTCACAAAAAAGCCACAACTCTGCTCCTGGCCCGCCAAACCCCCCCCCCACCCACCCACCCTCCCACCCACCTCCCTTCCCCAGAAAATATTCCGTATTGATTTGTTTCAACCGTGCGCAAAATGTTATAGAAAATAAGATTTATCTCAATTGCTTACTCCTTGGCTCAGATGTGTTGGGGATCATTTAACATAACTAGTGTGTAATCATTTATTTTCATCTGGTTTAAGGTTCTTCAATTTAATAAATTGGGCCAATTTGTTTTCGATGCATTGTGTCATTAAGTTGCTGCCGCCGCTGTCGCAGGCCTCGGGGGCAAGGGGTGAGCCATGGCCACGCCCCCATCCATCGCCTGTGAGTGAAAAATGAAACGGAATATTAGCGCTGTCTATCGGCGATTGAGCGTGGATCTCAGCCAGCACCTTCCTCCCCCCACCCCCAAATTACACTCTCTCTCGTGCCCCCCAGAATGTTTCGAGCCAGGGAATTTTCTCTGCCTGAAAACAAAAAGGCCCTCGTCTGAATGGGTTTCCAGATGGTGCATCGTTCAGTCGCCCATTAAAACTAATCCCCGCGCAATCTAAGTCATTTCAGTAAAATTGTATTTATTGCTTTGACAGTGCTTTGTCATTCCACTGCTGGATGAGGGCCTTGCCCTGAAGTCATGTAAGTTGCTGTGGCAGGAGTATTACCGCAATGGTTCGCGCACAGCGCTATGAAGGTGGCGACCAGAGTTCAATTCCCAGCCACAGTAAACATCGGTGGCCGGGTGATACATGAACCGGTCCTGAACCCGACCCCTTCACCAACCTGGTGAAGTATGGTCATATAACAAGATGTAGCATGTCGAGGTTTTTTATCTTGCTGTTGATTAAGAAAGAGCTGCTAAGTTAGGAATAAGAATTTTTTTTTATTGCTTGAGTATATTAGCACGACTTCTTGTAAACATGTATTAATGATCACAAGCATGTAAGTTATATTATTTACATGCAGAATTGTAATTTATTTTCAGTATACTCCCTCCATCCGTAATTTTCTCCGCGCTTCGTATCGAAACGTTCAGCGTTGGTCCGCTTGCATCGTCCGTCGCACACGATCGCTCGCTAACGATCTCAGGCGGTGCGGGTTTATCCAGCGCAGAGCGACATCATGACCAACTCCGCGCTTCCTGGCTCCGTTCTTGTGTATCGCGGTGAAATCATCGTGCATGAGCATGGACTGGGTGCATAAGTGCAATATTTATTCAATGCCAAGTTGAATATTCGAGAAAAATTTAGTTACGATATTGTGCCCAGCGCTACGATTGCTTCGGGAGTAGAATTTCGGGGGAAATTACTCTGCTTTGAGACAAATTGAAGAATAGAACCAAGCGGATAGGAGGTAAAAATGTGGGCAACTATGGGATGCTTTACTTAATAAACTTTGCACGTGTTTAATCATTAAGGGGGGTAGAGTGGTAGCACAGTGGTTAGCGTCACGAGACTATGAACCTGGCGCGCTCCCTCCTTTGACCGCTGGCCATAATCCCTTTCTGCCCAAGCCCATTTACTCTTCTTACCAGCCAATGCAATGCCTCTGACTTGCGTGTGTTGTCATTTTCGTATATAATTCGCATGCATCGTAGCCAATCGACTCTTGCGCACAGGTTTCAACGCCTGTACCGTTCGATGAAACCATCACCGGAACTCCAGTCATCCTTGTAGTGGCTTTCGACTAGCCATCCAACAAAGACGGTCACCAAATCACGCGCTTTCAGATGCGCTTCTGCGGCCGTCTGGAATGCTCTTCTTTCCGATATTAGGAAGCCACTGGAGACCGATGCACTTTTAAATCTGGATTGAAAACTCATTTCTTTCTAACTGCTTTTTTGTGTTTATTTTGTTGTCCTTCCCCGCATCTCCAATTAGCACGGTTGGCTA